AACAGATAAACATTAGTCAGCTCCTGTTTTCCACCGCTAAAAATAAGCTCAAATCTAAAGCACCACTTTGCACAACATGCTATCCTGGAAAAAAGGGCAACAAGCTCAAAAGGGGCAAATCATGGTTGGGTTGGACAGAAGATGTCATCATGCAGGTCTGCAGACTTACAAATGTCCATCCAGGTGAGAAATGAACACCAGCGTCTAAAGCGCCCAAACTTGTATTCTGTGTCGTGACGCTTGATAGGAGTTGTGGAAAGCTGAATCCCGCTGCTGTCAACGCCGAGGTATGCGCGCTTGTCAGTGACAAGTCAGATGAGACAGACGTGGTGATCTTCACAGGCGGGTCCGTTATATGAGGACATAAGAGGGCATGGGCATTTACAGCTCGCTCTTCAGGCAGAACAGTTCAAGAAGCCAAAGGTGTCCTCTCCGTGACTATCGGCAATAGAACGATGGGGGTGATGACGGTGACACAAGCTTTCATGTGGTTAGAAAAACAGGACTATTCATGCGTGTGTGCGTGCTGAGTGATTCTTTGAGCATGATCCGGCGAGCCGAGGCAGGCTGGTTACAAAAACAGTGGACTGAGTCACTGCAAAACTCTCCTGTATGTGCAGTTGCCTTCAAATTTGTCCTAGGGTATGCAAGTGTTGTTGGTAATAAGAGAGCTGATAGACTGGCAGGTGCCGCATAATTTGAGGATGGCCGGCCCATGGATCACGCAGACATTGTGCATGCCTTTTGAGAGATAGGATATTCTGAGGATTTTGGAAGCAACGTGTCCACATCATTGCTAAGAATTCGAGAAAGAGGACTAAAGATCGGCACAGCCAAGCATAAGAAGCTCAACAGACACCCACGAAGTCTTGTTAACCAGCATATGACTGGCACTATTAACCGCGTGACGCTGATGACTATGTTGAGAAGGAAATCTGAGCGCCTATGGATATGTCCGGAGTGCTGTGAAGATAATTCAACTCATAACTCCAAGTCAGTTCCGTTTTAACACTATACATACAGTCGGCCGTCCCAAAGTCAGTTCCGTTGTGCACACACACAGAGTCCGCCGTCCCAAAGTCAGTTCCGTTTTATACCACACACGAAGTTGTCCCATAGTCAGTTCCGTTTTACACCTTACACGCAGTCGTCTCATAATCAGTTCCGTGTTTCATCTTTCACACAGTCGGTCGTCCCATAGTCAGATCTGTTTTACACCTCACACACAGTCAGCGGTCTTGTAGTCAGTTCAGTTTTACACCTCACACACAGTTAGCGGTCCTGTAGTCAGTTCAGTTTTACACCTCACACACAGTCAGCGGTCCTGTAGTCATTTCAGTTTTACACCTCACACACAGTCAGCGGTACTGTAGTCAGTTCAGTTTTACACCTCACACACAGTCAGCGGTCCTGTAGTCAGTTCAGTTTTACACCTCACACACAGTCAGCGGTCCTGTAGTCAGTTCAGTTTTACACCTCACACACAGTCAGCGGTCCTGTAGTCAGTTCAGTTTTACACCTCACACACAGTCAGCGGTACTGTTGTCAGTTCAGTTTTACACCTCACACACAGTCAGCGGTACTGTAGTCAGTTCAGTTTTACACCTCACACACAGTCAGCGGTACTGTAGTCAGTTCAGTTTTACACCTCACACACAGTCAGCGGTATTGTAGTCAGTTCAGTTTCACACCTCACACACAGTCAGGGGTCATGTAGTCAGTTCAGTTTCACACCTCACACACAGTCAGCGGTACTGTAGTCAGTTCAGTTTTACACCTCACATTTAGCTGTCCTTAAGTCAATTCTTATTTTTTTTACCGCACTCGCTGTCGACCTTTTGTGTCATTTTCCTTTGTGCTTGTGTACATGGATACGTGTGTGTGTGTATGTGCGCGCGCGCGCGCGTTCGTGCACGCGTGCGTCTACGTGTGTATTTGTTTGATTTTGCAGTAAACATGTTGCTGAAACCTCGTGAGTTATTTACGTTTGTCAAAGTTAAAATTTGAAGCCATATTTGTTGCAATGGTTTGTGACGTTGAACGTGGCGAGTGCTGATGTTTTGATCATTTTATAGAGATCGTTTTACGTAACGTGATTAACCAGGAGACGATACAATCAAAGTGTAATGTAATTAACCACAATTTAATAGCAAAAGATGCAAACTTAATTTGTCATAGGAACATTTCAGAGAATGTTGTATGTTAAGGGCTCGGATTGTTCTGTGGGCAGCGCCAAGAAATTGTCTCCAGTTTAATTAATTATTTTTTTCTACGTGCTGTCAACGACGAATGTCTGGAAATGTGATAACTATTAGGCTTCTCTCCAAACGGTGGACATAATGTACTGTTTCTTCGTACTTTAATAGTGCGTTTCAAAAGTCTTGTCCTCACAGTTAAAGAAATAATTAGAAAACTCCTGTACAGATCAATACGAATTCCTGCGGCTTTAGATGTCTCATGTCTGTATGATAACATAATTCACAATTGCATAGGTGTTGCTGTTTTTTTTTTTTTTTTTTTTTTTTTTTTTTTTTTTTTTTTCCTTTTTTTCAAGCAACGAATTTCTTCGTTTTTTTTAAAAACTAATAATATATGTAACCCCCCCCCCCCCCCCCCCACCACGGTTTTCCCCCCCAGTCAACCCCCCCCCCCCACCCCGCCGTCCCTTCCCCCCCCCCCTTTTCAAAGTAGAAAATATTGTTCCGTGGACACAGGCGTGGAGATTGTCTGGAAATTAATTCACATGTGCAGCCATGCGTAGTGATTAATTAAAAACACATTGTTTATGTAACTCTCAGGAGGCTTATGCTGGAGATGACCACCTGATAGTTAAACGATGCAAAGAAACGCTTACATTGTAGTGTTTTAAAAAGTTCCCGTTACTGGGTTTAATTGTAGGCATGCTGATTTTTTTAAATCCGTGTCCATTTATAAATGTGTGTGTATATATTATATATACATAATATCATATATTATAATATATATATATATATATATATATATATATATGCTTCAAAAATAAGTAACTTAGTAACCGTTTGGTGTAAGTTGTTAAAAATCTGGCATACAACTATTAATCGTATCCTCGTTAGAATATATTAAATATATATATATATATATATATATATATATATATATATATCATATATATATAGATATATTCAAAGAAAATCATTTTTAACAGGCTGCATGCCATATTCTAATAATTTACACCGAACGGTTACTGATTTTTTTTTTTTTTTTCAGTTAAGCACAACTTCTGGAACAGACTATAACCGCATGAGCTAGTACTCTGCGATTTAGTGCTTTGTTCTCCTACGGTATACGTTTTCTTTTTCAGTCTTGTATATATGCGCTTTAAAGAAACAGAAAAATGGTTTTACAGATTAATTTAGGACATGACATGTTGAAACGACAATCCTTCCTCTATAGCACGTTGTCTGCTTATTTTCCATGCCTCACGTGTACACACCACTTCTTCTGTTTGCGAGCGTGCCGTTTATCATCTCCGGGCTGCTCCCTGAAATATTTCACACCCCGAAATCAAAAGATCTAAACCTAGATGGCCCACCAACAGAACCTGAAGGTTTGACACCGCAAGACTAAATAAAATACGTCTCAGTGCTGATGGCAAAAAGAGCAATCTTAGATACCATCTTCAACCTTTGAGTTCAGTTGAGCTAATTCAAGAACCGACATCACTGCACTAGGTACATTCCGATAAGCGCTCCATCTCCATCTGCAGCAGCCAGCGCCGAGTTCTAATATCTGGGGTGCCAGTCGCAATCTGTTTATACGTCCGTCTTGCCTTTCCTTCTGAGCGTCGCGTATCGGCCAGAAACCCTCGTCACTCCAACCAACTGCATCACTCTCGCTAGACTGTGATTATTCATTTGCTCCTCTGAACTGTACAGGCTCTTCCACAAGGCACTAACCACGTCTGCCTTAGCATGCATTAGATTCCACCAAGTTGTGCAGAGCCAGCCAGTCCGCTTGTACATTTCCCAACACACCGGTATGGCCCGGAGAAAAGATCCAGACAATGCTCCTCACCCGTGACCTCCCAAGCGAAACATCCCACTCTGCGCGAAGCATGCCTGTCCTGACCTTCCTCTTTATGCTTTCTGAGTCAGTTACAATCATGATGCGTGTTTGTGTCGTGCTCTCTAACAAGCGGAAAGCTACAGTGACCGCCTCCACCTCCATTCTTAGGCTGGATGTTGTGGTATCATATGCTAGGCTCTCCTGCACCAAACGTCGGCCATTAACTTTTGCCAAGAACCCCAAGCACTTTTTTTTCCTCTTGACACTGAACCGTCTGTGTAAATCATCACATCCTCTGAGCGAGCATTATCTTGAATTAATTGCTAAATTTCCACTTTCATAGCACCTGCTTGCCATTCTCTGCACTCTCGGCTCAGCGTGATTATGACTCGACACAAATCTGACTGTCCGCTGGAAGATGTGGCCCTTTTCCTCTTCTCGCCTAATATTCTCTACGATGCCAACCTTTTTGTTTGTGTCTTCTGCCTGAGCCATTGACGACTTTCCTCTTATCAGCCGCTGTTGGACTGCGTCTAAAAACTTCGTGCAAAGTGTAATCTATGTCTACAGCTACTCTGGGATATTACCTCGCCTGTAGCACCTTGAGCCTACTCGGTCCAGTCTTTCTAGCTGGGTTTTGCTGACAGTGAGGAGGCCAATACCATGGTCAATAACGCTTAATACAAGCCCTCGATAGAGAAAGAAAAGTAGGCGTTGTTCAATATCAGCTGCTGCTAGCACCTTGAGTGCTGTCAGACCTTTCCTGGCTCTAAGTATAACATTGTCTACGTGGAATTTGTATATCACAGGAAGTAAAGGCAGCGGGCGTGATTATCATATCAGCAGTCTGGTGCAGATTGATCGATTAAAACAATGGATCTCCCAAAATATGCCCGGTAGACAATTGGCGTAATCGAAATCTTTAATTTTTTTAATATATAAATTGTTATTTACAGGTAATTCAGTGCGCAGGAAACAGCGCCGTTACCGCACAACTTTCAACAGCTCACAGCTAGAAGAACTTGAGTGTGCCTTCCAGAGAACCCACTATCCGGATGTGTTCTTTCGTGAAGAACTGGCTCTCAAGATTGGCTTGACTGAGGCTCGAGTTCAGGTAGTTAACTTGAGTAACAGTTCAGGTAGTTAACTTGAGTAACAGTTCAGGTAGTTAACTTGAGTAACAGTTCAGGTTAGTTAACTTGAGTAACAGTTCAGCTAGTTAACTTGAGTAAAAACAGTTCAGCTAGTTAACTTGAGTAACAGTTCAGGTAGTTAACTTGAGTAAAAACAGTTCAGGTAGTTAACTTGAGTAACAGTTCAGGTAGTTAACTTGAGTAACAGTTCAGAAAATTAGTATACGGTTTATTTACTTGTGTTCGGGTAATTGGGATAGTGATATGATAGTGTAACACACATTTTCTTGTATTCAGGTAATGAGTACGGTAGTATGATAGTATAACACAAATTTGTTTGTGTTCAGTTAATAAGTATAGTAGTATGAGAGTATAGCACACATTGTTTTTTTTATTTTTTTTATTCAGGTAATGTGTATAGTACATTGATTGTATAACACAAACGTGCTTGTATTCACGTAATGTGTAACACACATTTTCTTGTATTCAGGTAATGAGTACGGTAGTATGATAGTATAACACAAATTTGTTTGTGTTCAGTTAATGAGTATAGTAGTATGAGAGTATAGCACAAATTTTCGTGAGTTCAGGAAATGAGTATAGTAGTATGAATTTAATAACACAAATTTGCGTGTACGGAAGTTTTCAAACCTAACTAAATACATTTCGCAACAGATGAAACGAACGTGCAAGTTAAGCATTCACAAATTATTCTAAAGACATAAATATGTGATAAAGACACAGTAAAATAACCACTACAGTTTAATAACCCACTAAAAAGTTATATCACATAAATCTCTGTTTTAATTAGTCATTATTATTGGTTGCTTTTTTTTTTTTCACCTTAAAATTGTTTTACTCGAAATATATCCCTGTGCAGCCGCACACGTTGTACATTCCCAAACACAGCCCTGTGTGCAACTATGTAATCATATTAACTGATGCCTTACTATTAAACATGATCGCACAACCAACAGTTTTTGTCTTCCTTTTTGCTTTTCAGGTATGGTTTCAGAACAGACGAGCAAAATGGCGAAAACAACAGAAAGATGACCATAAAAGTGCATCAGCCAATGACGTTATTTGCCATGGTGAGTCAAACACCGTTGCATTTCCTCATCTGGAAGCTAGAATAGTAGCAACAGATGGCTATGTGAATTAGGAACAAAATGAAGTTGAATGTAAAATATTATTAGATAAATCGATTTGTTTGGACAGAACATAAATAAATAAATAAATAAATAAATAAATAAATAAATAAATAAAGTGGCGCGGTGATTTATGTCACAGGCGTGAGGGGAAGTTAAGTCCAACATGATGTGTATAAGGAGATACTCCGTACGTCACTCGGGCGCCAGTCCTTTACTATCCTGGTTGTACGGAACCTCACGCAAGACCCCTACAGCACGTCCTCGTCGTGCGCCACGGATAATGTCTCAAATGAGCATTAACAGAGCTGTCAGGGGATCTCGGAGTTTGGCGGCCCCCAGAGGTGATGTGTCCTTGTGGCTCTCATCAGCCCGCCCCCAAACGCTTGGGTGAAAAATGTTATCAAAAATTATTAGGAACATGAGTAGGTTAGACAAAAGTACAGCTAAAATTACAACCCTTGGTTAAAAGACTGCTGAGTAAAGAGAACATTGCTCAATGCTCATCCTTGGTTAATTCTCAGTGTCGTCGTCACCGCGCTGAGGTGCACCACAACAGCAACCATACATGGGCTGGCCATCCTTGTGCATCCTCGGTTGGCCCTCAGTGTCGTCGCCACCGCACTGAGGTGCACCACAACAGCAACCATCCATAGGCTGGCCAGTCACGTACATCCTCGATTAACCCTCAGTGTCGTCGTCACCGCGCTGTGGTACACCACAACAGCAACCACCCATCGGAGGGCTAAGCCTAAATGTCCGACAAAACTAGATCATACGGATCAAAATCTGACCATCAAAATTTGCACTGAACTGAAAGAGGCCGAATGTCCACACCCAAAGACCCCACTCGCCCGAGTGTTGGGACAAAACTGATAACGATATGCCTGATTCAGGATGTGAAATTCTGTCGGGCTAATGTACCTATCTGTGTGGTCACAAAAAGTCCAAAACCAACGGGCTGCTCCCCGCTGACTTCCAGAGGGCGCAGCCCCTGTCGAGCGGGAGACCTGATACGGTTGTTGAGGTTAAGCAGGCATGTGCAGGACGTGACGATTCCTTGGGTGAGCCCCAGAACCAGAGCGCCATGTGCCGGCTCTGCATGCATGGAAGCCTCCTTGGATGGCGGGGAATGCCCATGATCTGCCCCTGCCTTCCCCTTGAGGGCCAACTGTTCCACAGGGGGCTGCCCCAAAGGGGTACTCCGGGGGCAATACCTGCGGCGAAGGAGACAAGGCGGACACCACACAAATCAGGCAAAGTCTCGACCCACACAAAACAATGGCCACAGTCACCCTAGAAATAGGCCTGACGTCTTCCTTCGAAGTCGGCGTACAGCTGCCCAAGAGGCAGGGAAATGAAAAACGGTTGTACACTCAAAAATCAGGTCCAGGTGAAAGCCAAAAGTCCAAGCGGACGATTAACCGGGACCTTCCACTGGAATTCACAGCCGGTGTTCGATGAAAAAAAAAAATAAATAGAGGTAACAAAATGAAGTTGAATGTAAAATATTGTTAGATAAATCGATTTGTTTGGACAGAACATAAATAAATAAATAAATAAAAAGAGGTAACAATTCTTCCTCTCTTTCTTCAGTTATCTCATCAAAGCGTTGGGGAATTGGGATGGGGGGGGTGAAATTAAGATGTGTGTAAGAATCTTACGCGTGCTCTTTCTAGTACATCGTATAAATGCTGATCTTCATTTTTATAATTCTGTTATTGATGACGTCGTTCCTTATGGTGCATAGTCTTCCTCCTAAGCTGTGCTAATCATGTTTCCACTGCATGGTAATTGGTTGGCGCATGGACATTCTCGTCATTTCATTGAATCATCTATTGTGTTGCTCTTTATTGAATTGTATGAATGTTTTCAGTCCTAATTTTTTTTCTCCAATGTGTTAGTTTTGGATTTTCCCCCTCTTCTTGTTACTCCTGCAGCTTTTGTAAGACACGTATAAGTCACAACGCCAAATAAAACTGGGACAGCACACAAAACTGTCAAATATTGTATAGAACATTAAAGGAAATCGAAATGGTATGATCATCAGCGTGTACACAGTCTATGGTAGCGGGATATCCTGGTTCCCCAGTTTACGCTTTACCAGTGTCCATCATAACCCCACCCCTTTTTTTAAAACCTGCCCCCCCCCCCCCACACACACACACACACACACATATACCACAATATTATATTTGTTCAAGATCTTTATTACATTTACGGTATGTGTACCTCTCTCTCTCTCTCTCTCTCTCTCTCTCTCTCTCTCTCTCTCTCTCTCTATTTCTCTCTCTCTGTGTGTGTGTGTGTGTGTGTGTGTGTGTGTGTGTGTGTGTGTGTGTGTGTGTGTGTGCAAAGCCCCTTGCTAACAGCAGTAAATTAATTTGAGTGTTCTCTGTTGCACTAGCTGACACGGTATAACACATAAATGTAGTCCAGACTGTAAACTAAAACAGTTTCCATTCAGACGTTACTCTGGTAGCTCGTCGGGAAAAAAAAAGTATCTACGCCAGTCTCACTCTATCAGTTGCAAACTGCTCCATGGCTGGGGAGGTCTGAACGTCAGTGCACTAAATTTAAATGTAATATCTCTCTGCACTGTAATAAATTATATACACCAGTATCTACAGTGATGACGTAACTATGAGTGACTGCAGTCAATGTTTAGTTGCGGCTCTTCAACAAGTCTCCATCCATTTTAATAGTTGACTGTCATACACTCTTGTCCCAGTGATCAAACCAGCGGCCTCTTATTGAAAATTCGCTTCATTAATAGTTTCGGCAATCTCAATCGTGCAGGGATAAAATAATCCGCTCAATTTTCTTTAGTGTAATTATGTCTGTAACTGGGTATGTCTCCCTATTTTTTTTTCTTTTCTTTTTTTAAACTTCTGTGTGTGTGTGTGTGTGTGTGTGTGTGTGTGTGTGTGTGTGTGTGTGTGTGTGTGATATAGACACACGCACACATACACACACATACAGACAGACAGACAGACAGACAGACAGACAGACAGACAGACAGACAGACAGACAGACAGACAGACAGACAGACAGACAGACAGACAGACAGACAGGCAGGCAGGCAGGCAGGCAGGCAGGCAGGCAGGCAGGCAGGCAGGCAGGCAGGCAGGCAGGCAGGCAGGCAGACAGACAGACAGACAGACAGACAGACAGACAGACAGACAGACAGACAGACAGACAGACAGACAGACAGACAGACAGACAGGCAGGCAGGCAGGCAGGCAGGCAGGCAGGCAGGCAGGCAGGCAGACAAACAGACAGACAGACAGACAGACAGACAGACAGACAGACAGACAGACATAAATATATATATATATATCCGAACACTTCGATCGGTTTACATCAAAGGGCAAAGTACGCAAACTTAAAAACTGTAAAGGAAACATGGAACACCAGAAATGCGTGTATATATATATATATACATATATACAATATATATTGTTACGCATTTCTGGTGTTCCATGTTTCCTTTTTAGTTTTTAAGTTTGCGTACTTTGCCCTTTGATGTAAACCGATCGAAGTGTTCGGATATATTTGTCTGAGTCTTTTACATGGCCATGGAGCTTTCTGACCCACAGTTTGTATGTATTTAACACTCATATGTAGACAAGCTTTTGTGTCTCTTCTAATGACAGCACTGCCAGCATCGAAAGCAAAACCTCCACCACAACTTCCCTCATCGGCTTCTGGTGCCTCATGCAAGATGGCCTCCATCAGCAGCGTGCCAATGCCCGGGTTCTATTTTCACGGGAACATTAACGTGGACTGGACTCCCGCACTGAGCTCCCCGATGCCGTCCTCCTGTCTCAACCCGTTCATGCCCACAAAGAATGGTCATCGATTTCAGGAGAACATGGACGAAAACGTATTTGGCTCCAGATGTAATGGTAAATATATACAGTGAATGCATGGTAACAAGTTATAGTTGCGTGTCCTTTAAAGATAAAGTCGGGAGATGTGACCCAGCGTCATTGCACACGGTTGTAAACCATAAGTGCTTTGCCACCGGTACGGACAGCTGATAAGAAGCTGTTCCCTTGTGTCGCCTTCCGCATGAAACTTCGTAGCTATAGCGACGTTCCTCCATCTACCCTAGAGTGTTAACTCTGGTACCCATTTCCTAGAGGCTAGGCGAACCCCGGTAACCGCTCGGTTTCGAACACCGGCCATGGGCTGCAGCGAGTCGCAGCTGGTTTTGAAAACGAGTCTAATATCGACTGCACTACCGCGGCCTCCTCTTCAGAGGCCGTCGCAGGCTAATCTCATCATGTGTTAACTGTTTTGTGAATGTTAAAGGAAGATGTGCCATGTGACCTATGAAACCTGTGTACGCGATTTAACACCTTTGAAATTCGTTCTAGTGCTATTATATGCACTCTTGAAAGTTTTCCCAGTAATTACTATTGCTTTGAGACAAAGCATAAGACTCTTTTCACCTTATCGGCGCATACGGCATTTTCAAAAATGTTTGGACAAGTCAAAGAGTCATTTGGATGGAAGAATTTTCTGTCCGATGAAGAGCTACAGAATGTGGAGCAAGAGTGGCTACACCAAGAGATTTTATTTTTCTCTAAAAATGCAGCACTTTATCGACCTAGAGCATTTGCAGTGATCGCAATGGTGTTACATCTAAAATTATATATTTGTCCTTACATTCCCCCCCCCCCACCCCCCCCACACACACACACACACAAATGTAAGGCTTTTGTTTGAAGCCCCCCTCCTTTTCTTTGATTTAGATTGGTCTAATCAGTCACTTTCTGTTCTATCAACTTTACAAATTAAAAAAAATTTCCTCTTAAAAAAGTTCATGTTTGTAAAAATGCAAGAGTTTTGATTCTGTGTTAGTTTATCTGCAGATTTTCTTCGTCCGTTTATTAGGGGGCAGTGAGTCTCGTCTCGCGGTTAAATCATATAATTTTACTCAGTCAAATTTTCATTAAGCACCCGCTTATACTTAGGTGGTTGGTTAGAGTTAGTTAGTTAGTTAGTTAGTTAGTTAGTTAGTTAGTTAGTCAGTTCAGTCAGTCAGTTAGTCAGTCAGTCAGTCAGTCAGTCAGTCAGTCAGTCAGTCAGTCAGCTCAGTCAGTCAGTCAGCTAGCTAGTTAGTTAGTTAGTTAGTTAGTTGGTTGTTGGTTGTTAGTTAGTTTCAGTCATTCAGTCAGTCAGTCAGGTTGGTTGGTTGGTTGCTAGCTGGTTGGTTGGTTGGTTGGTTAGGTTGGTTGGTTGGTTGTTTTTAGTTAGTTAGTTGTTAGTTGGTTGGTTGGTTGGTTAGTTAGTTGGTTGGTTAGTTAGTTAGTTGTTGGTTGGTTAGTTGGTTAGTTAGTTAGTTGGTTGGTTGGTTAGTTAGTTAGTTGGTTGGTTGGTTGGTTGGTTGGTTAGTTTAGTTTAGTTGTTAGTTTAGTTTAGTTAGTTAGTTAGTTAGTTAGTTAGTTAGTTAGTTAGTTAGTTAGTTAGTTAGTTAGTTAGTTAGTTAGTTAGTTAGTTAGTTAGTTAGTTAGTTAGTTAGTTAGTTAGGTAGTTAGTTTAGTTAGTTAGTTAGTTAGTTAGTTAGTTAGTTAGTTAGTTAGTTAGTTAGTTAGTTAGTTAGTTAGTTAGTTAGTTAGTTAGTTAGTTAGTTAGTTAGTTAAAGAGGACAGAAGATTTTCATGACTGTACCAATGTCCTTAACAAATAAATGTTCACTTATTCAGATCACAGCCAAAGCCGGAACGCACGAGCAGATAATTCCCAAATGAAAGCCAGCGCACACAACAACCTGTTCCACTTGTCTGATGGCATGTATTCTGTCGAATCTCGAGCAAACAGCATTATTGCTCTTCGACCTAAAGCTCAAGAACATCAGGAGACCATCAAAACTTAACGCATTAATAACCTTACGTTCTGACTGTTTTGCGCTTCTAAATTGAATCTGTACTTAACACTTGTATATGTCAACATCGTACAAGTTTCAGATATGATAAATGTGCAAGTTTTAAAACGCAGCAGCTTTTCTAAAGCAGGCATATGGTGCATGTACATAAACTAGGTAGTAAGACACAAATAAATACAATAAAAAATATATAAATTATGCTACCTAAATACTGGCTCTATTTACTCATTTTAAAGCTGTTCGGGATTTAGGCAGAGGGTTTGATTAAGCCTGAGGATGCGAGGCCGCTTGGTTAGCGTAGATACCAAAAACTGTGCAGGTTAAGATGTCTATGCTTGCACAACTAAACCAACAGTTGTCATCACCTTAGGATGGAACATGCTTCTAACGAAAGTGTGCTAGCACTGCAGTCGCTCTTTTGGCTGCTCCTCCTTCAGAAACACACTGAAATTCGCATTAACTCTAAAGAACAGCGCACAAAAGCAGACATTCTAAAGTAATGAAACCCCAGCGACAAGCCAAGAATGTGTTAAAAAACTAGACACGAACTTGTGAATGTAAGCTTACTAAATACACGCAAGGGTTCTGTTGCTTTTAGTCGCTGCATCCTGAAGTCAGGGGTCCCGTAAATCTGGGGACAGACTAATTATAAAGTGTTGGGGGGGGGGGGGGGGGTAACCATACGACCAATCCCTTAATGAGTAAAAAGTCGAGGCCCCCACTCTATACGACCAATCCCTTAATGTGTAAAAAGTCTAGGCCCCCACTCCAATTATGAAAATAAGATCTCTTTTTAAGCTTCTTTTTACACATATCATTTAGTTGATATGTTGGGTTAGTTGCGTATCCTTCACAGGACGTTGCAGAACCAACCCCAACAGCCCCTGGCTGTTGTGTGGGTTTTCTAGGCAAATTTACGTCCGCTAGTTTGCTATTACCTGGACGGTCGGCTTTCTTGATACCACTGTATTATGAAAATAAGATCTCTTTTTAAGCTTCTTTTTACGCATATCATTTAGTTGATATGTTGGGTTAGTTGCGTATCCTTCACAGGACGTTGCAGAACCAACCCCAACAGCCCCTGGCTGTTGTGTGGGTTTTCTAGGCAAATTTACGTCCGCTAGTTTGCTATTACCTGGACGGTCGGCTTTCTTGATACCACTGTCGAAACCAACACAGGGCGCATGGCCCGCAGCTGGGATAGAACCCGGCATCCAGGCATTACGAAGCGTTTGCATATACTTAGCCACAGAGCCGACATACATATGTTTCATACATATGTTCTATAGGGGAAATGCACTGAATTTAGTTGAATTGGTGTTAAAAATAGATGGAAACAACTGTTCGTGTGTTTTTCCTCTTCTGTCTTTGCGTGCCCGCTCGCACACACACCTTCAAACATGTGTGAAACGGAAGACAAAAGAAGACAGTGATAGAAGCTTTGGGATGTTGTTTTGATATTGATTGTAAAGGTATCAACATAAGAAGTGATGCACGCCGTTGGTGCTCGCGAGATGTGAAGTGGAGAAGCATGATTATCCAGGCTAGCTGGCATGGCACTTGATTGTGATGACGATAATGGTAGTGGTGGTGGTGCTGACGATAATGGTAGTGGTGATGGTAATGATGAGAATTATGATGAGAATGGTGAAAAGAATGATCATGAGGATTAGGGTGAAGATTTTGTAAACAGCTCGCATTCAGATGCTTTACAGTTTAAAATTAAATTAAAGATAATACGAAGTTTTACTTTGGTTGACTTCTTTTTAATCTTGCTTTTTCTTCTTCTTCTTCTTCTTCTACTTTTTCTTCTTCTTCTTCTTCTTCTTCTTCTTCTTCTTCTTCTTCTTCTTCTTCTTTTCTTCTTCTTCTTCTTCTTTTCCTACTTCTTCTTTTCCCCCTCTCCCTCTTCCTTTTTCTCTTCTTCTTCATTTGCTTCTTCTCCTTTTTCTTTCTTCCCCCTTTTCTTCACTTCTTTTTATTATTATTATTTCTTTTTCTTAATAGTATTATTATAATTATTATTATTTTTCCTTCTCTTCCTCCTCCTCGTCTTCCTCTTCTTCTTCTCCTCCTCCTTCTTCTTCTTCTGCAATCGCCATTTAAACGGCATTTGATTCGGTGTGTTGTGTTTACAGTATGGTTGCAGTATCTGTGCATCGTGATCAAAAACATAGTTTTAGCAGTCTACGTGGGTCTACATCTTCCTTTGTGGCTACAAGAAATGAATTGGAACACCCCCCCCCCTCCCCCATTGTCTTCGTGCTGACGCCCCTAACAAGCTAAAATATTTAACATCGAAGATAAAACTCCAGAGGCGTGTGCAGTGATGAAAGATAATATAATAGTTACTGAAATGCCAGAAGCTCTGTACATTCACAAAACAATGTCAACATTGGCGTTAGCTTGTAATTTAGTTTATCAGTCAAACAGTCAACGATTCCGTTACTTAGCCGGCTGATTGGTAAGTTGACTGGTTGAATGATTAGTTAGTTTGCAGACAAATTATTCACATTGCACTTAGAGTCTTTTAGTCTATTACTACTCTGATCACTTTCTAAGTATATTCTTTAAAGTGTGGCAATTCAGGTCGCCGGTTCTTTTTGACGGATCTTCTTTGACATTCTGCCTGGCGATCTTGGCTTCACCCATTTTATCTGTATACCATATCATTCGGCAAACTCCTTTGCACCATGACCTGCAGACACTGATGAATTCTCCGTGGTTATGGAAGCCTCCACATTCACACTCTTTTTATCACTGACATTATTTGACATATTTTTACATAGTAAAGTAAAAGTAAAAGACCCTTTTACACGTCTTTAGGCGTATAGGGTTGTACCTATATTTTATAGACTAATCGGCACAAGATGGGTGATGTGGTCAGTATCATGCCGGCCGCCTTTATTTCCCGGGACTTCACCCGGTACCCACTCAAGGCTGGGTCGACCTGGGAACCAAGGTCATTTTTTTTAAAGTCCAGCTCCTCCAGGAAGCGAACCCACGACATTCCGATCCACAGGCGAGCGTCTAGCCGATCCGCCACGGCAACTCCTCATTTTTACATACCCAATTTGAATTCCACCACCACTTCACGTTTTTTTAATTGTCCATTTATAATCCTTTTCGTTGCCATTTCCTGCTACATCTAACCGAATTTAGGCTCCATGTACCAGGTTCACCCACTCTTCAAAGCCGCGCATCTCTCCCTCCCTAATCTCTGTGGACCTATATAAAGTGCTTTCTGTCTGGGTCTTATTCTATCAAATTCAGGACAGTCAGTTACCGTATATTTTACATCATACGCCTGGGGAGCTGCGGTACCGTAGCAGACAGCCGCTCTTCTACAAGTCCTAAGGTCTTGGTTTAGAATTCGCGCAGGATGGTTTTTAGAAAAACATGACTACCTCCCCCAAGTAGACCCATACCGCAATGGGCTCCCGTGACCTCGGGGGGGGGGAGAGAGAGGGGGGACCAGACATGGCTGGGTATTCAAGAATTCACGCATGCGTGCATACTAAGTGATTCAATGAATATCCTTAAGACAATGCTGGCCCCTTTCATCAGACATGTCTTTATTAAACGCATCGTAATTAACTCGCCTAACCTTTATTTTTGTGCCGGGTATGCAGGTGTTCAAGGAGCGTGCAGATTATCTGGCGGCAGACAAGGCGGTTACTACGATTGACCCAGCACTGGACAGGAACGATGTCATTAATGCCATGCGAGTTGCATATCGCAAGAAAGATCAGGACTCAGTATTTTGGCCAGACATATGGGGGTGCAACGCTGGAGTAGTGAGGTCTTAATATTTCACCAAGGCTACAAGGCGTCTAGCTGATCAACATAGAACGGGTGTAAAATTCACGACCATTCACACCCAGGTAATGTCATTGTCTATACAGATGGTTCAGTGTTGAGAGAAAAGAGAAGTGCTTGGGTGTTTTGTAGCGAATGCCAATGGAAAATCTTTAGTTCAAGACATCCCAGCATACAACATCACAACATCTAGCATGAGAATGGAGGCGAAGGCAGTAACTGCAGCTTTTCGTTGGCTGGAGAGCAAGATGCATACACGTGTCGTAATTGTAACAGACTCTGAAGGCATGCTGAGAAATTTGAAGGCTTCGAGCTTCATTGGGAAGTTCACGGTAGTGAGCATACTTTGGATCTTTTCTCCAGGCCATGCCAGCGTAGTGGGTAATGAACAGGCAGACATATTGGCTGGATCTGCACCACTGGGTGAATTGTTACATGACAAGGCAGATGTGGTCAAGGCCCTTTGCGACCAAGCAACGGAAGTAGAGAAACAAGATGAAAATGGCCAGGAGAGAATGAGGGACCTGGGTGTAACCAGAGGGCCTGGCCGGCGCATTACACTCAGAGGAAAGGCAAGACGGACATAAAACCAGACTGTGACCGGTACCATCAGTACCAGAAATCTGCGCTGGCTGCTGAAGATGAGGACAGAGCACGCATGGAAATGCTCGAGTGCTGTGATGTCAAGTCTTGACTCAACTTTACTCAAGAACGGGCGTAATCAGATTTGTTACGCTTGTGTGGTTGCTGAGAAGGAGATCGGAGCACCTATGTATCTGTCTATAGTGCTGTGATGCTAGTCCTCACTCACCAAATAGGTTCATATTTTGTTATATAAATGCAAGGAGTGTGGTGATGATGATCAACATCTGATGTGAATCAAGAATAGTTTCCCCTGTCGGTCACCGTGACGACATGTCAACATTTCACCATTGATTTGTTGCCATTGACGCCATTTTCGGGGGGAAGTGTAGACAGTTCAATGAAAAATCAGGTTTTTTCACACACAGACAACACAATGACTTCGTTTGACGAACCTTCCATTTATAATTTACTGGAAGTTGAAGAAACTAAAGAGATTAAACAAAAACGGTAAACATTGTATATACTATCAATCATCGCATCGTCAATTTCCAAGCTAGCTCTCCGTCAGCGTCGTAGGGGAATAGTTTTGCGATCCATTTTCAAGATCCCATTTTACATTGCTTGATGTGCAGAGGCATAGAGCACTGGCAAATGAAATATCATAGCATTCTCATAATTCTGTGTCGGTAAAGAATGTCTTTTACAAAATTCTCCAATCCATATTCTTCTTAGCTGTGTTGGTAGTTATTCATGTTCAAGATGTTGTGGCTGCATTCTAACATTCTTACGATGACCGAACAATTTGATCTATTTTTCTGTTTCTTAATTAATATGGTGCAGTTTTGTTCTCACAGTGTGTCTGATAGTTTCATTTCTCATTTTTTCTCATGTGGTTAAGTTTCCTCTCTCAGGCATCTTGTCTCACCGGTGTTAATTGAATTTTTTTACGCAGTTTAGCCATTGATAATGTCCAAGTTTGTCACTGGTAACGCAGTGTTGGTACTAATAAGCTGTTTAAAATCGGTTTCTTGGCATTCATACTTATGTTTTGATTTTCTTACAAGTGGTTAGTTGCTATTTAAATGCAGTGACTCATTGACATTTTGTTTATATTTCCAGTTTAATTCTGCCATGATCCAAGAATATCATTCCTAGATATTTCAATTCTTTAACTTGTTTCAGACTTTACCATTTAACCCTGTATGTAGTGGGATAGGAAGTTTTGGTTCTCCTTTAAATAATGGTCGCTAGTTGGACGTCGACGGCCGCTTAGTTGGAGTTCACTCCCCTGGCTGCAGTGCAATTACAGAGTGGACAACACTCACGAATAAAAAAAACAACGTGAGGTCGACATGGCTGCTAGAGCTAGACCATGCGCTGCGACTGACAACAGCGACCGCGTTCTTGCAATGCAAGAGTCTCGTAGACCACGCGCTGCGACTCAAATTAGCGAACGCATTCTTCCGACGCACGACTTAGTGACTGTAGATATCAGACCTGCGGATCTGTATGTCGTAATGAGCGATAACCTTGCGTGGTTTCCATGATATGTTACCCTAACCCTACGCCTAACCCTAACCCTTCCCCAAACCCTAACCCTACCCCTACCCCACACCCTAACCCTACCCCTAACCCTACCCCAAACCCTAACCCTACCCCTATTCCTAACCCTAGGATGACAGGTAACTATATCATTTGTTTTGTTCCCTCTTTTCCACTCCGTAATTGCACTGCAGCCAGGGGACTGAACTCCGACTAAGCGGCCGTCGCCTTCTAGCTAGCGATCGTTATTTAAAGGAGAGCCGATGTTGACTAGAAATAACTTATATAATTTGGGGACTAGCATAGCAGATCTCTACATTTTAATTTATAAACATGCACCTGTACATACAGACTGTTGGACTGCTCCATTACATCTTGTTTCATAGAATTCCAAAATGCAATTCTTATACAGTAGAACCTCTATAGTTGACATCCAAGAGACTGTAGCAAACCGGTCAACTCATGGAGGTGGTCAACATACAAAATAAGGCATATTATACTGATACTATACTTCCTTGAAAAACTTATACTGAAGATTACAGTATCATATGAAATCATTCCTGTGTGGGTTCTGGGATCCCAGTGTGGCGGAAACGAGAATAGACTCCAACAAGCGTGTCATAAGAGGCGACTAATTGGGAACCAACAGTCTGCATACAAATATGCAAGATCTGTAGAATGGATACATATGCAAAACTCAGGTCCTGGAGCAAAGCCAGTCTAGAAATGGACACACAAAAAATCAGGTCTTTCCGGCATAGCTGAAAGCCGGTGAACGCAAACAACAACATATGTAATCATACATAATCATAACAGATTAAATCATCAACAACTGTTTCTTCACTGTTTAATCATCTAATTGGGGGGGGGGGGGGGGGGGGGGGGGGGGTATTATCGTCTGTATCTTAGTCTTATTACAAACATAAGTGGAGAAAGCCCTCCTAACAGTGGCTACACCACTCAGTATACCTGGGCGTTTTTCCACAGCAAAAAAACTTCAACTGTATTATTAGATGCCTGAAAGCCTTCTTTTTTAGAGACTGCAATTTTTGTTGCTCGTTTCTGTTACTTCATTAGCTGGCTGCCTGCACTGTAATGATGGTCTGTACTTTTCAGATTTGGTTCATTACAGATTTGGTTCATTACAGGTTGTCACCTCAAAAAAAACTTCAAGATCTATTCGTTCATTTGATGATACACTGTCCACTGGAGCTAAGATGTCATGCTCTTGGGTTGTGACAAATCAGACTGTCTTAAAACATTTTTGTATCATTTTTGGCTGAACTTTATCCCAAGCAGAACTGAACAACGCACAAACATTATTTTTAAAGAGATCCAAGGACATCATCCAAAGCATTAACTGATGCAGCGGATGAAGTTGCTTCCACAGGCTGATGATATATCTTTCTTTTAATAATGATCCACATTTTAAATATTTTGATTATGCCTTGGTCATAAGTGAGTGTTTTTGAGGTCACTTTTGGTGGCAGAAATTTCAGTATCAAGTTAGTGAGGCACCATGTGCCTATGGTCGAGGCAGCCAGAAGAGCTAAAAACAGAACCTTATATCTCCCTCAACACCCACAGCGGTAAAAGAGGAAGTGAAGAAGAAGAAGAGATGTTCCACTTGTGAGTGGCTAGGACAGTTGTCTACTATCAGTAGAATAGGCCAATCCTTCTTCTTCATTTCTTGGTCAATGTCCTTTACCCACACCTCAAACAGAGCAGGAAAGGGGGAGGGTCTGTGGCTTCAGGTTCTTGAATGTGCATGGCTTTGCCAATTTACAAATCACAAAGGGCTTTAATTTCTCTCTGGCTGAGCTAGCACAAAGCATAACTGCAACAATCTTTGAAAATTTTTCCATTCTTATACTTTTCGCCCTTCATGAAGCTCAGATCAGGCATCACCTTGACAAATAGATCATGCTCTTCAGCATTACAGATGTCATCATTTTTGAAGCTTCTGGCAAAGTAAAGGGACATTTAGATGAACTGTTTCACTTCTAAAACATCACTGGATTTACCACACAACATTTTATGTGAGATCGCATGTTCAAGTTTAAATTTCTTGAGCCAGCTACTTGATGCTTGGAAATCCTCTGCTATCTCAAATTCCTGAGCAAATTGTTAGCATATTCTCAAATGATGGGCTAGAGATTCTGTCATTATCTGCCCTCATTTGCGTGAATAAGTTTAATTGGCCTCATTAAAAGGAGTTTTCATTCTACTCAGCTGTCAAGCTCTGCTCTCATCAATTAATCAATCCTCATTGTGCCGAGAGGAACATAAGGCAGAGACAAACTGTCACCATACAATTTGATCCTGAGCCATCCTCTCTATCTCCAGTTGTGTCCTTCACGTAGCCTTGAGTTCAGCCTCAAAGGTTCACCCCCAAGTGCCACTGAGCCTGCCTCTTCCTCACTGTCCTTGTGGTGTCTATTGCATTGCCTATCTTGGTCATCTCCCTTTCTTCATTCTGAGAACGTGTCCAGTACACCTCGATCTTCGTTTCTGATTTCTACATTTACATTTTTTAAGTCTGTCATTTGTTATAATCTTGTAATCTAGAATTGCTGATTTGATCTTCCCATGTGAACACCAACAGTTTTCTGAGAAGTCTTCCCTCGAAACCTCTGAACATGCTCTCTATCTTTCTGTCTGTTTTCCATGTTTCTGCTCCATAGAGGAGAACTGTCCTGCTTATCATATCTCAAAATACTTGTGTTGATGTTTTGAATGTTTCTAACCACAAAATGTTTTGCTGTCTTTCTTTGGCTGCTAGTTTCCCAAAAAATTTAGAAGATCAATCTTTTCCTTTAATGTCAACTCTTGAATTATTTTTTTTTAGGCCATAATGTCTTGATAACTGGTGGTAACATTAAAATATATGGTAGTGCTGTCTTTAAGCAACACTCACAGACACATAAACTGGGAAGAAAGTTATCAACACTGCAAACTCTAACCATGGACTCTTTGAGGGTCTGATCTTGACTTTTTAACTAAGGAAAAGTACACGTACACAAACTGGTTAAGACCAGTTGGTCATGTTAGAGAGGATAAATTACCTTTGTGTGTCATAGTGAAAGTAATTAACCTACAACTAGCAGATGTGGTCAACAATTAGGGGAATCTTCCACCAAGAATATATGGTGACTGTCCAATCAGTGAAAACAATGTTAACATCGGGAGGTGGTCGACAAATGGAGGTGGTCAACTTTGGAGGTTTTGCTGTATTTTATTTCTTCTCTGAAGAGTTGGAAGAAGTTTAGAAAACTTCAACATCCAGGAAACTGTTGTTTTTTTTTATTGCAATCTTTTTCTCAAATGTTAAATGTTGCTTATTAATTAGTAAAAACTATTCTGTCTGGCTGGTCTCTATATTCTTAGAATCTTATTTACCATAACAAACATAATAAAATAATGCTTTTCACATTAAAATTACTTGTTATGCTTAAAGGTATTAAAGCTAATCTTGCTTGGTGTTCAGGTACAATTCAAAGTTTCGACAGAATATTAAGGAGGAGTTCCAGACAGGTCATGCTCATTACAAGACAATGGGTCCAGCAAAGGTCCCAGTACCTCAGCCTACAGAATTTCTGAAAAAGCATGAGAAAGAACCTCAGCTACCAAACAGTAAATAATTTAACTGTGATAAAGAACATATTTATATGTCAATCTAAAAGTTTTGCTACCTTTTCTATGTGGATGGCCATTAGGGTAACCCCTAATGAATTTAGTGAAACAGTAAATAATTTATGTCCCCACAGACACATGATGCAGACGCCTCTTTAAAAAAAAATGTTTTATTAGCCTATAAGAACTCCATATATGATGTAGTCATTATAATGCTTGCCACCTTTATTTCTCAAAATGTTTCCTGATACTCATTCCAGACTTCCCGCTGTAAGTTCCATTGCCTGGTTTGTGGGGAGGGGGGAACAGACCCACTGCCTCCTAACAAGCATGTCATAAGAGGCAACTAATTGAGTTTGTTGAAATCAGATATGTTGGGTTGAACAACTCAGATACTGCAGACTAACTGTAAACTACAACGCATTGTGTCAGACCCTTTTAAAAAATCAGAAAAAAGCAGAAGAATTGAAGGCTGAGTTGATCCAGAGTTGAGAGAGTTTGCTTTGATGTAAATATAAACCCATGATCACACCACTTGCAGGCAAGCATGCTAGCTACTGCTAGCTACAATAATAATAATATTGGCATTCTATATAAAAAATGTAAATTCTCAAAACACTATCAACACTGAAGACGTCTAATGCATAAATAGAATCATATCTGAGAAACTACTTTTCTTTAGAAAACTACTGTCATTATCATCAGCATCACCATCCTGTTGTCTTGTGAATGAATGAAGAACTGACATCGCTGCACTCAGGACATTCTCATACACGTTCTGTCCCCTTTATCAGCAGCCATCAAAGAGTGTCCATTCTAGTGATGCCAGTTGCAACTTGATTTAACATTCGCCTGGTGGTTTTTTTTTTTGTGTGGGAGGGGGAGGGGAGGGGGGGGGGGTTAGAAAATCATCCAGACCCTCTGCCAGCTGAATCATTCTCTCCAGATATGGATGTTCTGTCTGTTCTATTGCACTGTTTACTTGATCCCAAAGAGCAATCACTGCATCAGAGCTAATCAGCTGGTGGGGATGGGCCAAATCTGGCCCATAGATGCCTAGCAATAGGCCTGAGGATCATTGCTAGTTGTATGGTATAAATGATCTCTCTATGCTGGCACATGACGATCGCCATTTTCAAAATGTTGACCTATGAGTAAACTTAATTAAATAGCCTGCACTACGTGCATCCACTTTATCATAAATTAGCTCACCGCCCAAAGGAACAGCAGCAGCAATTCTATGTGTTGTGCCATTATGTCTCAGATAGGGCTCTGAGTAAATTCTCCTATTCCTTTCTATCCTATACACTTGTTTCAGTATCATGAATGGAATCCAGTCCAGGACCTTCAGCCAATCACATCATTTTTTTAAGGATTTCAGTTGGGCATCATAATTTCCTTAATCTATCTGCTTCCCATTTAAGTGCCTGTTGGGGATTCTTTGTTTACTTCTCCTCAGGATATGCCTAATGTATCACCCTTTTCTTTGTCTCATAACTGTTTACACCAGCAGTTGTTGAGACATTTTTTTTTTCATTTCTTTACCTTTCTTGAATTCAACCTATTGAATGTTAATCAGTTTATCATGTGTGTTTTTTTCCTAATGCAAATAACTTTCATTCCATGTCTGTAATGGTTCTGCAACTTTCACAAACATATGTTTAAATTTAAATAACATTAGAATTAAAAATACACAGCTTGGTTTTTGAACTAATTAATTTAGAGTTCCATATTTTGTTCAGGCATACAGTGTTACAGTTTTTTTTTTTTTTTTTTTTTTATATAAAGAACAGTAATGGAATGCAGTTCCTAGAATACAGTCATTATCAGATACTGGCCAACCAATATGACAACTGACACATGATGTTGAAGAAGTCATGGGCAAGAATATTTTCAGCAGTGAGAGTGATATTGTGCAAAACATTTCCTACATGATGGTCGTGAATTTTTTTAAAGATCTCATATTTTACTGAAAAACTTATTTTCATTAGCATATGGAGTATGTGTCTTGTCTGTGCATACCTGTGTGAGAAGGAAAAGTGTCTGCACAAAAATATCAATTAATTAGAAAACATGTGATTGTTAATATAACTGTATAGCTCCAGTTGTACCTCAGTTGACTAGCAATAGGCCTGCATATCATTGCTAGTGTATTGTATTAATGATCTCTTCATGCTGGGGCTCAGGCCATTGACACATGACGATTACCATTTTCAAAGTTTTGGCCCATGAGGAAACTTAGTTGACCTTTTTTTTTTTTTGCTCCTTTTTCTTTTTCTTTATGTTCACCGGCTCTATACTCTAGACGAAAGTTCTGGGTGTCTGCCCACCTCCGAACTTTAGTCTTGCTCCAGAACCTGAGTTTTGCCTGCACATCCGTTTCACAGATCTGGCTTATTTGTATGCAAACTTGTGGTTCCTTGCCTCTCAGGCAGATGTACTCTGACTTCGAAGAATGTCCCCAATTAGTCAACATATGCAACATGCTTGTTGGAGAGGATGTGGGTCTGTTCTTGTTTTCCCCTGCAATAGGGCCCAGTAACCCACACAGAAAAGGGGGTGGCGGTTCTGTTTAATAAATGCTTTTATTAAAGGGTTGTATTGTTGTTTATGTCTTTTCTTATAAAGAGATTGAAAGCTGCATTTTATTGGTGTCTGTAGCTTAGGGGTTATGACTGCACTTTTATAATTCTGACATTCCAGAGTTCAGAGTCAGCTGCAGTCAATTTGGCGGTGGACTGCTTTGCATTGATTTGGTGGCAAACTACTAAAAATAAAATTACCCAGTAAAATCACAGCCAAAAAATTATGGCTTTGGTTTACAGTATCATGTAAAGTATATGCAACTAACTTTCATTTTATTAGTTGCATTTTGTGTTTATTCATCCATTCGTTTGTAGTATAACTAGTTTAACTTTTCTTTTTTTAGAAGAAAGCTTCCATTACCCTGATGATGATCACAGGAAGCCTCCAGTACCAAAGATAAATGATGCACCTTTAATGGGCCTCAAGACAACAAAGAACTTTATCACCACAAATGCTGTAGAGAATATCACTTCAGTCCCCAAGCATCCAGTCAAGAGAATTGTTGACACACGACGTGGTGACACCCAAAATCTGATCCCGTCTGGCCTTGAACCAGTTTATGTGCATAAAAAGGTGAGAAAATCATTCATTACTTAAGATATGTTATGTAACCCCTTAATCTATTAACTTTTGAGCAATATCCTGGCTGTATTTAAGATGTAGCCGTTTAATTATTTATGAATTATTCTGAAGACAGAAAATATATAGCAAACATACACAAAATAATACCTACTTCTTGCCGTTTACCAGCTGTAAACTCCAGTGGAAAATTCTGGTTATTTGTCCATTTCTGGTCTTTGGTCTTGTTCCAGAACTTGGAGTTGTTTGTGCACATCCATTTTACAGATCTAGCTTATTTGTATACAGGCTGTTGGTTCCTTGCCTAGTAGGCAGATGCACTCTGACCCCGAAAGAAACACCCCTGTTTAGTCACCTTGTATGATAAGCTTGTTATGGAGGCTGTGGGTCTATTCATATATTTATCATATTGTTCGAGATGACCAAAAAGTGTTGGCATGTTGACAAACATGTCCATAGAAAACTTTAGCTTCAAACTTCAACCAGTAATGAATAAGTTTACAAAGGAATTGCAATGAGTTATTTGAGGGCTCTACTGAGAGTAGAAAAGCACAAGAAAAAAAGCAATTGAACAGCCTTCAGACTCTGAGTAACCACAGGGTTTGTTGTTTCAAATATGCAAAATTTACTGCTAGCAATTTCATTTTCCTGGTAGATTTGTACCCATTGAGATCAGATGTAGTGTTAATAGTTACCGTTAACTCTTTCAGCATATTTCTTAAGAAGTGATTAAGGTCATCCCACTGAAAACCTTGGCTGCAAATTCCAAACAATCATAAAGGACTTAAAATGACCTGATTCAGGGCCTGTGCTCCACTGGGAGTTAGTCAGGTGAAAAAGAAGATATTAGATAACTGGTGATACATTCACTGGTTAAGCCATACGTCATCTAATTTTCCTAACTCCGTCTTAACCGTTGGCCTTTTAGTTAATAAATGTTCAGGTCTGGAGTAGTTAACATAATATTTGTCAGAGATTGAAAGGCTCTTAGTAATAACTTGCTGATTCGGGTGTGTGATAGACCTTGCTAAAGATCTTCTCATCTTCTTCTTAGCGTTCACCGGCTAAAAATCCTAACATAATGTCCTGGTTGTTTGTCCACTTCTGGATTTACGATCTTCTTTCAGAATGTTGTATTTTATCTGTCTATGTGCAAACTTTTGGTTTCTTGCCTATCAGGTATATACATTTTTAAGGAAATGTTGAATTTGTCTATATTGGCCAGGTCCCCAGTAGAGAGCCCATGTCTAGGATGGCAATGAAGAAATGTAGATAGATGTAAACCAGTTTGTTCCTTGGTCCTGATTCACCCAAGTGTGGATCAGCACCTCTGCATCCTCGGCTTTCTAAAGATGATATCTTGTATAGGGGTGTCTAGTTAGCCGTGGGTCAAATGAGCTGTTGCCATCTTGAGGCGACAGGTTTGATTACAAATATGGTACCTACGGCTTTCAGTTAAATGCTGTCTAGTATTTTATACCTTTTTCATGTACATCTGTGAGTGCCATTCTATATATATATGTATATATGTGTGTGTGCAAATGCTGCAGTTTGTTTAATTGTTAGTGTAACTATATAAATCCTGATTATTCTCTCTTTCTAAAACAAGGAATTTGGTGAAGTTCCAGTGTATCTGACCAAGCGAAGAGAAGAAGTGAAAAGGGCTCAAGATGAGTATGACCAATATGTTGCTGAAAGTTTCAAGCGTGGAGCACTGAGACAACTGACAGAGGAAGAACGTGGGGCCATTCTTGATGGTCTCAAGGCAAACTGGGAGGATATCCAGGATCAGTATCAAGGTTTGTCTGTGGTCACAGATACAATACCCAAGAAATGCAGGAAGGAAAGACTAGAAGCCCAGATGAAGCAGCTTGAGAAGGATATAGAATTATTTGAGAAACATAAAATCATTTACATTGGAAATTAGGGACTTAACAACAGATAACTCTTGCAAGACATGTGACTTTAACATAACTACAGATAACTCTTGCAAGACATGTGACCTTAACATTGACTGAGGTCTGAGAGACAGGATGCTAGCACAGTTGACAATATAATGCAAAGAAATTAAAGTTAACTCTTTACCACGAAACTCACTTTATGTCCATTTATTAAATTCAAGACTTGGAATATTCTGTTGTTACATTAACTCATTCTATCCAGATTGTTAGTTCAGTTTCTTTTGTCCTGTAACTTTATTAGTTTAACTTCTTCTGACTCAAAATATCTTCTCAGAACTTCTCAGGATAGAAAGAATCAAAATAATTATTGTCTGGTGCTGAAAGAGTTATGCAAAGTAGTTTAAAATTGAACGAATAAATTATACTTTGACTTGTTATTGTTCTGTTTATATGGTATAAATATTAGGTCTCTGTAAATAGTAGACAAGATATTTAATACAAGCATGTTTATTGTTTTGTAAGAATTGAATTACCAGCATATTTTTAAAGCAGTTTTTGGAAAAAGAATGTATAAAGCATTATGATATCTTATTACATTGAAAAAACAGTTTTCGCCACAATTTGCTATTTATAAGTCAATAAAAGAATTAATAATTTTCTGATCAGACACTGGAAACTTCTTTTAGTAGTGGTTGGCTCAACAACTTTGCACATTTTGTGTGTCCAGGTCAAATAATATGAGCATCCTCTAACATTATTATTATTTTATTGATATTGCTTCGGGTAAAAGTAGAGGCCCACTTTTTAAACCACAAAGTGTAATGGGTTTTACGTTTTAGCCCCCAAATTCTAAAGACAAATCAACACATACTGGATGATTCGGTCAGTATCACGCCTGCTGTCAAATCTTCCTGGGAAAATTTCATGGATCTTATTTTTAGACTTGGTTGATCTAAAAGCCCAGGCCACTGAAATAAAATATGTCTTGAACGAATACATACCCACTAGAGCTAGAGGCTAGCTACAGCACTAATACAACTCCCACACATAAAGATCTATAGTATAAGCATTATTTCTTGCTTCTATATGAACTGGACGACTTCACCCATCTATAGATGGGTGTTCCTTATTTTACTGTGGTAATAAATGTAGTGATTTTCTTCTTCGTGTTCACAGGTTTCAACTCTGGTAGAAAGCTGGTCATTCATCCACGTCTGGGCTTTAGTTTTGTTTTGGAACATAAGTTTTGCATACACATCTCTTTTACAGATGTGGCGTATCTGTAAGCAGACTGTTAATTTCTTGACCCACAGGCAGATGCACTCTAACTTTGACCGAAACACCCCTAATCAGTCAACTGTTATGTCATTTTTTTTTAAGGATGGCAGTAGGTCTATCCTTTTTCTTTTCCTAAAAGTGGGGCCCCAGAACCCAGACAGGGAGTATAGTGATTTTAAAATGAACCTGCAATGCATTTGAGGCATGCCTGTATTAAAAACATGCCTCTGAGGTATGCATTTTGTTTTTTAAAAAAACCTTTATCCTTAAAACTGCAAATATTACATAAATTAAACTACCCAGACTAGGTTACTGACATAGTGGAAAGTATCTATCTGTAGAAACAAGTTTTTATTAACTGTTTTAATTATTGATTAATTAGACTTACATCTTGACTGATTTATTACTTGACTACAGTTACATTTTTGTGGCAATATAGAAGTCATTGAATATATTCTCTTAGATCCCCCCCCCCCCCCCCCCCCCCCCCCCCCCCCCCCCCCCCCCCCCCCCCCCCCCCCCCCCCCCCCCCCCCCCCCCCCCCCCCCCCCCCCCCCCCCCCCCCCCCCCCCCCCCCCCCCCCCCCCCCCCCCCCCCCCCCCCCCCCCCCCCCCCCCCCCCCCAAAAATTGTTTGATAAATATTTACACTTGACTACTTTTCATGTGCTTCATTTTTAAAGTTTTAAAATCATCATTCATGCTGTGTTTTTTCTTTCTTTCTAGAAAACCAGATGGCTGAAAGGGTTAATTAATGACAGTTTCTGTTTTTTTTTTTTAAATTTGTTCATTCAAGAATCATTTTCACAAAATTTTTTCATATGTGTGTGTGCTTTGTTGTCTACCCTTTTATTATATTTATTTCTATTTGAATCAGTCTACAATATAAATATATGCTTTCATTCTTTATAACCATATGTGACGTGAAAAATGAAAACTAAGTAATGTATTTTTCATTGTCTAGTTCATAAATTATATTTACAAATTAAACTACTGATAAAAATATTCATAGTGTTGCTGTATTTGTGTGTAAACATTTGTTTAAATAGTTCAGCAAACACTACATTGTTTTAATTTCAGCTTTGTCTATCAATGTTCAATTTATTGAGGAACACTAAATTTCTATCCCCTGTACTTTTCAATTTGTATTTGGAACACATCATTAAATCGTTAAACATCTATATCCATTTGCGGAGACCACTACTATGCAATTTAGTTTCACAGATGACAATGGTCTGATGGTTGGTTCTAAAGCAAACTCCAAGAGCATACTACAAAATAAGAGACTGTCTGTGGTAAACATGGCATAGAAATTAATGCCGAGAAAAGCAAGATTTTGATAAATAGCCACAATAACATGTACCAACCAACATACAGATAAAGGGGAAAAAACTAGAAGTTGACACTTTTAAATACCTCGGCTCCCACACGATGGCAGCTGTCCCAAAGAGATCAAGCAGAACCAGCATTACAGTAAAGGTCAATATAAACACATTACTAGCATTGCCTATTTTCTTATACACAAGTGCGAGGAGGGGGGAGTGACGAGAGGTTCTGGCAGATGCTCGAGGCTCAGAAGAAAGGCAAGACGGACGTTTAATCAGAATGCTACTGGCACTATAAGTATCATAACTCTTCGCTGGCTGCTGAAGATGGGGATGGAGCTCTTATGGGAATGCCCCGAGTGCTGTGATGTCGGTTCTTTAATCAAATCAAATCAAATCAAATTATACAGATGTGCAAGTTGGACATAGTCCTGCACACCCATATGTTACGCTGGCGTTAGGTGTCCAAGCTATCGGCGAGAGACGCCGCAGTGGCCGGGCCAGCGTGACAGAAGCTCGTGTGGTGAGATGGGAGATCTCAAGTACGTGTCAGGCCGCAGACTGAAGGTCTGGATAATCTTCACAAGGTGTGCATCGGCCTGTATGATCTTTCTAGTGACAGTGTACCCTAGGGATGGGTGTCATAGAGACAGACACGTACTCACGAGCAGTGGGTTTGTACGAGCAGCTAATGTTTGCTCGTTGTTAACCACGGAACAGGGTAGCAGTAGAGGTTGTCCAGAGCGTCCGGAGTGTGTGTTGCCTTGCCAGTAGGAATAACTGTGGCAGTATAGAAATTCATGTGGATTCATTGTCTTGGTTTTGAAATACATTAATTATATTCTGACGTTCAACATGTATCCAGCGTCCTTTATTGCTGTTGGGCGGGAGTGGTGACTTTGATCTGTAACACTATTAAGCATACCTGGATACTTGGCAAGTGTGCGGTGTAGCAAGCGAACATTCGCACGCGTCAGACATTCACTGTGGAAAGGGAACGGGGGATTCAGGCTTTCAATGTAAATGCTATAGACGAATTAGTTGAAAACTAACAAATATGTTAGAGACAAACTAAACACATTTGCAGGACAACAGGAGGCTCTCTTGGCAGTAGTGAAACGTCGCAAGCTAGCATGGTTCAGGCAGGTGGTGAGACATGATTCGTTTGCATAGGAAGAACATTGACAGTGGGGGACGTCGAAAAAGAGGAGGGCAAAGAAGAACGAATTATTAAATCAAGAAATCGACAGGACTAAGTTAAAGAAGCGGAAGACAGAGAAAGATGGTCAGTTTTAAGTGTTAGTGCTTCCATACATACTACCTCCACAACCCAACTGGGTCAAGGGTTATGTTAAATTTCTTCAGGTTCTGTGGGTGTCCATTCAGTCTGTTGGATTTTATATTAAAAACTAGTGAATGGTGATATTGTTGCTTTTATCGGTACAAGTAACGTTGTCCAGCCCAGGCACAGTGTGATTGGCCGTTCATTCATGTTTGCTAACCTTTCACACACGCTAGTCTAAGTTACGGGCGAGTCACATTGTGTTCCGTTATGTATAAATTGCCGGCCAGGTACACGTTGTGTTTTACTAATTGTTCTCAGCGACCACGACGTTGCGTGGCCTTCTCGCATTACGCGAATAGCATAAATTTACAGACAGCATATGACCCTTTTTAGGACCGACCCCAAAATTTTAACAGTTTTGAAACCACGGGACTTGGATTGCAGTTTCTTGTGGGACATAATCTGACTATGGGGGAGGGGTTAGGGTTAGAGCCAGTTCTAGATCTTCTGGGGTCGTTAATAGCGGTCACATCGTGTAGTATAGAACACGCGCCATCGCCGATGAGAGCGTCGAAGACAATACAAAAGATATTGTAACTTAGACTTGCACGTGTGAAATTTAGCAAGGATGAATGAATGGCGAATCACGGTGTGCCTTGGTCGGACTGTGTTACTTATACCCATTTATGCTGCATAGATAAAATATCTTGTGCACAACAATATGATTGCCAACATATTTAAAAAAGCAAGTCTCCTAATACTATTCACTGGCTGTTATACAGTTTCAAAATGCTTATGCAAGGACACAATGGGGAACAGGCCAGCAGTCATTTTCACAAAAAAGCAGAGACAATAGCAGCGACATGAAACCTCAGAGACCTTTAGAGCACTGCAAGGAAATTTAGTCACATTGACCAATCAAAAATAGTCAAGGAAATGTTCTTGAGAACACTAAAAATATTATCCAAAGAGGAAATTAGGAAAGCCAACAATCTTCTGCAGGAAATAGACACTACAGGTCCAGATGGTATCCCAGCAGGCCAATTTAAAACATCTACAGAATTTCTACACAAATTATTCAATAAAGTCCGGGAGACTGAAGAAATACCAGCAGATTGGAGAAAACGATAATATGTGAAAGTGTCACACACACACACACACACACACACACACACACACACACACACACACACACACACACATACACACACACACACACACACACACACAAGTTACTTGCAGGAGTGCGAAAACTGTAGAGGAATTATGTTGCTGTTTATTCCTGGAAAAATATTAATTTGGATAATTTTGGAAAGACTAACAGATTCCACCGATAAACACCTACGGGGTGAACTGGCAGGTTTTTGGTCAGACAGACCTTGTAATGGCTAAATAGCCACACTACGCACAACGATAGAGCAAAGCATCAAATTGAATTTACCACTGTAAACTGGATTCACAGATTATAAAAAGCTTTTAATATCATTGATATGGAATCTCTCTGGAAATTTATGAGGCAGTATGGAGTCCTACAGAAAATTATTAACTTAGTAAAGCTTACATTAAATGTCCAGTTCTCCATGAGGAAAAACTAACAGATATGCTAATTTAAAAGGAGAACAAGTGTGAGACAGGGATGTCTTTTGCCGCCTCTCATGTTTTTACTGGCAGTAAACTGGATTATGAAGACAGCAACCGCTACTACCAGGAATGGAATTCAGAGGACCCTGACAAAACGGCTTGATGGCCTGGACTTCGCTGATGATGTTTCTCTCCTATCCCATTTACGGAATCATATAAATTAAGTCAGTTCAGGCGTATTGGCATTTACACTTGATGCAAAATCAAAAAGGTCTAAAAAAAAACTCCAAGGGAAAGACAAAGGTAATGAGAATAAACCAGGCAAATAGTAATCTGGTTTCTTTTAATGATATCTAGGGCCATATTTAGACTTGATGAGGTCTTAATGTTCAAAGCCTCTACTGTTTTAAATTACACTAGTTAATTTCAGTAAACATTATATGTAATTTAATGAAAGATAGAAGCTGATTATTTTATTCAAATATGCTGTACAAAGTGAGGACAAATCAAAGCCTAGGATAATATCCCAGTATAATATTTTTGGTAAATGGGAAAGTTTCTGGAAGTTTGTTGTTTTTTTTTTTTTTTTTATGAAAAAAGTAACACTTTCGGTCGGGGGTTGAGGGGAGACAGGGCAGAAGAAAGAAGTATAGGGTACCCTCAAGATTTTCTACTCGGGTGAAACTCGTCATAGAATCCTCCATTTTTCATCCTCGGAATATTTTAGTAATGTGGGTCTTGATTTAAAAAAAAAAAAATTAAAGTTCAAAGTAAAGGACCCTTTTACACGCTGTCAGGCGTATTGGCATATAGGGCTAGACATATATTTTACGGATAAGTCAGCACTCGGTCGGTCACGTGGTCAGCATTACTTCAGATTTGAGTCTTGGAAGCAAAGTATTTAGAAATCAGTTGACTGACTGACTTTCTACCCCACCAGGACATCACAAAAGCGATAAACACCCGATGACACAAAGTGCCACATTGTGGGTGAGGTTCACAGAGGAGAGGTCCCAGAAACCGCGTTCAGCCTCTAGGCCATATTTATGGCCAGGCTATATTGCGGCTCCTGGCAAGAGCCAGAGTAGGGCTTCAAATAATGAAAAATTTCGCTCTAAAAAAATCAGTTAAACCCCCGATCTTATAAATACTTCAGTGTTTATGAAAATGTATCTGCCGATATGAAAATGTATATGCCGATGTTGTTAAAGATTGCCGCACACTCTGAAGATCGTGTGTTTGCTTCACGGATGCGTTTTCGGTTCACGAATTCAGTTTTTACCCGGACGCTGGGAATCATTACCGGAGCTACGGTGTTCGTGCTTTGGGAGAGATCTTTCCTCGTCAGGCAGTTAGCCTTTCTCCCGAGAGACCAAGTCATGTTGTATAAAAACATGATACAATTAAGTCAATCCTCTTGCCTTTAACTTTTTCTGAAAGTGCATGCCGTGTGGAGTTTTTAGTCATATCTATTCTCTACCTTCTGTCTCGTGTACTTTGAATCAGCTCTGACACAGATGATTTTCCATTCAATATTGTCAAACTGTCCAGTATTTTTTTCTCTCGGCCTCTCCTCCCCTCCAACTTTCCTTCAGTCACGGGAGGGGGAGGGGGGGGACGAGGAGGAAAGGTAGCATTAGCTCAGTCGATATGAGACTCGCTTTCAAATTCAGCTGCAGCCCACGGCCGGTGTTCGAAACCATGCGGTTTCTGTGGTTCACCCAACCTTCTAGGAAATGGGTACCAGAGTTAACACTCAGAGTAAATGGAGGAACGTCGCTGTAGCTAGTAGTTTCGTGCGGACAGCGACACAGACGAACAGTTTCTTCATCAGCTGTCCGTACTGGTGGCAGAGCACGCATGGTTTATAACCGGGTGCAATGGCGCTGGTTCACAGCTACCGACTTTACATTTTCTACCGTCACGACTTTAACTATATAACTGCACTCATTCTGGTAAATGAAAAATCTGGCACCTTGACCTCTGTTATTACTTCCGGATCAAATATGTTGGGGCGATTGTCCGCATGGTGGAAGTCGTAAACAAAACATTGTAGAAAGTGATGTATAGTTAGTTTTTTTTGTATGTCAGTTTATGCTAACTTTTAGTACTGCGACGACATGGGGAAGAAGAACATCAAGAAACGTCATTCAAATTCGCTAGGTATAAAGACTTTTATTAAAATGATTGGTGACTTCTTCCTTTTCTTCTCTTTGATTGAAGACGAAGTTGTCAGAAATCCGACTGATTGTTCAACTGAACTTTAACCACTTGTTGTTGTTGCAATTAAACGAATCATTTAATTAATAATTTTATCAGTTTAATTTCCCACCATCTGTCATTTGACACCCAATCGATGACTTCGATAGCCACTGTTCGGATGCACATCGAACAAAAACAAATTTCAGAAACCCCCTTTTAAAGTAAAGTTATAATAATAGTATTAATAGTTTTGGCTATTTTCCGAATAACGGTCGTAAATTATCGAGGCGGAAAATATACCCTAACAAGGCCTCAGTCATGTGTCAATTACGCAGTTCCGTTGTCTTAAAATGCGAGCTTCCAGCGACTTCCGCCACTGCCGAGAGTGTCCCCCACGCCATGTGAGCAGCGTGGATTGGGGCTAAACTAGATGTCTAGGAGTAGGAGGACTCACGAGCAGCAGCTACCACATCTCCTGCAGCTTTCTTCATTTTTTTTGCTTGTGAGTCCTAGCCCATCTAGTTTGGCCCCAATCTACGCCGCATGAGAGCGTGGGGGACACGTGGCGGTTTTGGAAGTTGCCGGAAGTTCGCAATTCATCGGTGGCGTTATAGTCCCAGGAAGTGCACAATTAACACGTGGCTGAGGCCCTGTTATGGTATATTTTCCGCCTCGATAATTTACGACCATTATTCAGAGGATAGCCATAGTTTTTTTTTAATTTATGCATTTATTGGCTCTCCTTCGAACTTTTGCCCCATTTTATGGCGGTCAAACAAATACCCTAACACTTAGTAACAGGGCCTCAGTAATGTGTAAAATGCTGACTTCCTCCAAAGAACACATTGCGGCAAAACTAGGATTACTTGACAATGTCACGACACGCAACAATGCAGACGATAATAGCGACCGTTTACAATTTCGAGCGTTTCTGCAGACGATACTAGCGACTATTGACAAATTCGAGACACGCAACATTACAGATGATAATATGGAGATGGCGGGGATTTCACACGCTTTGACGCAGATTAGCAATAGTGTTCTTCCGATTAAACTTACCGCCAAGCGTATCCTCCGCGCTGCTACGTGCGGTGCGGATGCAGATCTAAACTAGACGCCTGAAACTCACAAGCAAATAAATTGGAGGAAGTTGCAGGAGATGCGGTAGCTGCTGCTCGTGAGGTCCTGCCATCTAGTTTAGCCGCCCCCCCATCCGCGGCGCGGGGGATACTGTGGTGGGTGCGGCATATTCACAAAAACAGGTTCGCAATTAACATGTCGCTGAGACCCTGCTAGAGCATTTGTTTCGTTATTCGGATCCGATCCTAGTTTTGCAGCGATTTCTTCCTCGGCAGGAACTCCGCATTTTGCATAGGACTTAAGCCCTGTTAGGGTATTTGTTTGGCCACGATAATATGAGCCCATTTATGGCCACGATATATATATATAGCCCATTTATGTATATATATATATATATATATATATATATGTATATATATATATAATATATATATATATATATTGTGTGGTATATATATCCAAGGAGGCTTCCATAAATGCAGAGCCGTCACATAACGCTCTGGTTCTAGGCTCACCCAAGGAATCGTCACATCCTGCATATAACTGCCTAACCTCACAACCGTATTAGGCTTCCCGCTTGACACTGGCTGCGCCCTCTGGAGATCAGCGGGGAGCAGCCCGTGGGTTCTTTCTGTGACCACATGAATAGGTATAATCTTTTTCGTCGCACGATTGTCATCTTTAGAGTGCTGTTAGCACGACAGAATGGAGAATCCTGCGTCAGGCATGTCTTTATCTGTTTGGTCCCAACACTCGGCGAGTGGGGTCTCGGAATGTGGACATTTGGACTTTTCCCAGTCGATACAATTTGTGATGGTCAGATTTTGAGCTTGTTCGTGTGCCTAGGATCTATTTTTGTCAGACATTTGAGCTTAACCAGCCGATGGATGGTTGAGTCTCAGCAACACATTCTCTTCACCCCACAAACTTTTAACCGAAGTTTGTCATTTTAGTTGTACGTTTGGCAAGTACTTAACTCATGTTCCTAATGAGTTATGATAAGCTTTTTCATCCATTGGGGGGGAGGGGAGGGGGGGGGGGCTGATGAGAGCCACAAGGACACTACACCTCTGGAGGCCACCAACTCCGAGATCCTCTGACAGCTCTGTTAATGCGAATTTGAGACATTATCCATGGCACACGACGAGGACGTGCTGCAGAAGTCTTGTGTGATGTTCCGTTAAACCAGAACAGTCCCGAATGACGTACGGAGTAACTCCTTATACACATCACGTTGGGCTTAACTTTACCTCATTAACTGTGCAGAATCACTTATAATGATCCCATTTAATAATAACGTTTATAATTTATTGAGGTAACAGTTTCATGAATTCTAACAGAAATTCAAACACTTATTCAATATTGTTGACTTTTTTTCTTTTACTTTTCTAAATTACTGTTAAAATCTACCTCACACTACTGTTTGAGTGTAGATTTAGTGACATTTTATAAATTAAGATATAACTTTTAAACCATAACGGCTAGACAGAGATTTAAAAAACAGGGCAGCAGTACCTCAATAAAGTCTGAATGTCAGTTTAAGTGGAGATATTCACATTTCAATGACGGAAAGTACTCCTAAAAATTAAAATGGAATATAACAGAAGCAAGATAGCGGCATGTTCCGTAATGAAAATTCGACCTGAAGTAACAACATTTGGATGCTTAATATCTTACTGTATTTGCCACTTTTTTTAGGGCAGTGTAGACGTGGGTGGAGAAGGAGGGGGAGAGGACATGAGCCTAAATTAAAACCACTCACACGGTTCAGCTGAGACAGTTAAACAATTTAATTTTTCCTTTTATTACTTTGACTTTGGATCAGACTTCGCCTACTTTCAAATGTCCCCTCCAGTCTCTAGACTTTAATAAGAGTGTAAAATGTTCTTTATACTAAAATAGTTGTGTGTTGTTTTTTTTGCAGCCGACCAGCAGAAAGGAAGAAAAACAACACAGTTGGCTACATCTAACGGAAATCACAAACAAAAAGAAGCTGCTAATTACTCAGTGGATAAACTTCTAGATAAAGTATATTTTTTAATTTAATTATTATCTGTATTTTTGTGTAACTGTTATTAAAAAAAAATGAAATTTTAGACGTCGCATATAACAGGTTACATCGTGAACTTTGAACTGAGGTGACTCTTTTTATGATTGTGATTGTATGCCCTATCTGATGCTTATGTTAAATTGGATATATATGCCTTATTTTTTTTAAGGGGATTGGGGGGTAATTGCCACTCTTCAGACTGAAACCTCAGATCACTGTTGGTAAGTAGTGAAAACTTTACACTACCACGATTAGATACTTGCTTCTACAGTTATAATTAACAGTAACAGTATTCATCAAATATTTTCACACATTGGCCATTAAATATGACATAAGGATTGTGATGCTTCCTTCAACTCCCAGGACATATTGGTGTCAAAGGTAATGAGACGATGGATGCCCTTGCAAGCAGTGCCACTCTAAGAAATGTACCTTAAGTGGACAGAATGGATATTATTACAATGTGAGAGACACAACACATGCTGAAGAACTCTCTTACTGATGCAAAGTCTAGATATTATCAGTTGAAACAACACATCATGAAAAGCACATATGAGCTCATAGTCGCTACTTAGCCAGTACAGAACAGAAGTATTTGGCATAAACACACTCAAGAATCATGCTTAAGAGTAGATCAGGGCACTTATGGGTTTGCCTGACAGGCAGTGAAAATGGTCTTGAACAGTTATTAAAAGTTGGGTTGGGAGATTTGCAGAGATGATAGTAAAATACACATAAAGGAAGTGGTATTATTGTTATTTCTGTTTTGATTCATAAATATAATAGTATAAACTTGTTCAGGTCTTCTTTAATGTTGAATTGTTTTGTTTCTTTCTAAAGGCTGAGCAGCTAATTGATGAGTTTAATTATGAGCTTGCACAGAAGTTCTGTCAAAGGGCATTGGAACATGAGCCAGACAGTGTGAGAGCTCTGGAAACTTCAGCATCACTGTTGTTGGAACTTGGGAATACAGAGTCAGCTAAACATGTGAGCGGTGTTATATTGTCTGTTGAATTAGTGCTGCCATTTTTGTTTTATTGCCTCTGCTGGCACTCCGGAAGTTATTGCGATTAAGTCATTGCGATTGTAGAGTACTATAAACGATTGTAATTGTGTGTTCAAATTTCACTTCACTTTTTATTTTTATCATATATTTGTAATAGTAATATAATTTGTTTCGAGGTGGGCTTATGCGTTGCGAACACACTTCCTTATTCCGGTGTGCAGGGTTTGATCCCAGTTGTGGCGTTCTCTTATCTCTTTTCCCATTGATCTTTAAAGTTTTTAAAGTATTTTCCAGTTGACCTTTTTGCTTGAAGTAGGTTAAGAATGAAGGCTGTGATGTCTATGATATTTGTGTTTTAATCTCTTTCAAAACATGATCATTACTAATTGTGGATATCCATAGTATTCTTAGCATTCTTCTGTAAAACCCTATTTACATGTTGTTCAAAGAATATTCTTACTTGTTAACCTCTTCTTGTCCTTCTTTTATATTTCGGTCAGAAAAACATATCAGGTTGCCAGTAGCCTTGATGAAAGTCTAAATCTTCCCTTGAACCCTTACAGCTTTTACTTAATTGAGGTTGGAACTGGCCAGATGGCTTGTCTGTTAATGACATACAGTTGGCAGTGGTGGAGAGTACATGCTCGGCATTTTCTGGTGCCAAGTTGCAGGAACACATCTTCATGTTTCCTTCACCAAAAAAACATGATCATATGTTTGCAGAGACTGTTGTACCCTGTTCTTAGTCTGCAGATGATTGTTGTTGTTATCGATCCAGCAGCGCATGAGCTTTCGCCCTTTGGCCCAATGCCATGTAGTGGAATTTGCATGTTTTCACAAGCTATTCTTTTTCTCCGTACAAGGTGTTCCACATCTGCAGATGATACATTATCCCTTTCTAGAGAGACTGTGAAGCGAATCTTATACAGCAAAATTTGGTGTGGGTATCCCACCACTTTTGTTGGATACAAGATTGTATTAATGTTTTAATCTCCTGGTGGGTTAAGTCACTATTTAATTGCACTATGCTTCTTGTGACTAATTGGTCTGCTATTTAATTGCTTTCCACTGCCTTACACAAATCCTGCAAGTCAGAATCAGCCGGTGCATTAAGTCTGCATACTGTATGTCATTTGGGTTAATTGTTGTTTGCAGAACTGACTTAGCAACAGTCAGAAAAACCGAAAAACCTGTTATTACTGCTGAGCTGTTTATTCAGGAAAGAACATGCCACCATAAGTGCATCTGCCTTTATTTTAATTAGAAGAATATTGTTCCATTTGTAAACCATTTGGGCATTATGTGTGTATTTGTCCTCATGTGTGTCTTATTTACTTTCTTGGCTGAGCAGTGTGTGGAAACTCTAATCTAACTCTGATGTGGATAGACTATTGATCTCTCCTTCTGTAATGGACTTCAAAGCAGAGCTGCTTATAGATAATTTAAGGATATCCCCATTACAGTGATTCTGACTGTTTGGGACTTGTGAACTAATTACAGTATTTTAAAATTCTTCTTTAACTAATGAATAAAAATTGCTCCTACAATGATGGTCATTCTATACAATGCAGTATTACTTAGTCTTTATGTGTGTTCTTTACTATTGGAATACCAGCCTGAATCCCTCAGTTGTTTTGTGTAGACCCCATTCACCAGTATTACAGAAGAAAACATGTAACGATTGAGAACATAAGCACTGTTCAATGCAACATTTTTTACCAACATTATGATTCCAGTACCAAACAAGGACATTAACAGCAAAAGAAAAAGGACAAAAACAAAACAGATGTAAAATGTCTGCAATGAATTCTCATTGTTACAAGATGAGCAGGATCAAAAACAGCAGTATCAGGAAATAGGTGAGGACAGAACTCATGCTAAACAACATCAATAGACAGCAGATCAGATAAGACGTGTGTCAAGGTCACCACAAAGAGATCACCCACACATGCAGTGGATAGATGGAATATTTGAGGTTATTCTTCATCTTCATGTTCACCAGCTGTAAACTCTGGCGGAAAGTGTTGCGTGTGCATCCATTTTACAGATCTGACTAATTTGTATGCAGACTGCTGGTTCCTTGCCTCTCAGGCAGATGCACTCCGACTTCAAAGGAAGCTCCCAATTAGTCGACTCTTACGACATGCTTTTGTGTAGGCAGTGGGTCTATTCTTGTTTTCCCTATAATAGGGCCCAGGAACCCACACGGGGGATATTTGAGGTTATGAAATCTGGCATCTGTGCAGCACACAAAGATTGCACCAAATACCTTTTCACAACTGCATACTGAAAGGCAAAACAGGCAGTAGAGAGAAGACCTTATTGCATGCTCACTGGGTGACGAAACAAATCAGGAAGCAGTACACATCCTTGTCTGACACCTTGCTTTATGTGGCTCTGAATGGTTGCCAATGCTTAATCCCACAGTTTTTGTTCTGAGGTCTTGCCACTTATACTGTTTAAAAACATTCTGGCTTGCTATTTCATCATGTTTCTCTCTAATACTTTTGTGTTGTCTGTGAAGTCTTAATTGTGGATTTAAAAATTTTTTTTAACTTTAGTAATTCTTTATATAATATAAAATCCTATCCTGATGTGGTCACTCTGCAATTAGTGAAAAATGATTTTGAAGTGGCAGCGATGGGGTTTTTGTATGAATGATGAGAATACCCTGGACACATATAAAGAGTAACAGAGATATCTTAAAAACAACTGACTACCAAAGAGAACTGATTGCCTACATCAGAAGAAGCAATCTGCATTCCTTGGCCATGACAAGAGAAGGAGAAAAAAAAAGTGTGTCATGACGTTGGGAAGGCTAGAGGAGAAATGAGACGGAGAAAGACAGAGAGAAAAGATGCTGGATATTTTGACATCATGGCAGGGAAGAGTATATGAGACAAAAGGTTGTGGAGAGACATGACAACCAATGACACATGACATGGACTATAGGAACAACTCTTTATAATAATGAATTGATAATCAGGGATGTTTTCAAACATTTAAAGAATAATTGTATATGCACAACTAAATACTTGCTGTTAATTTAAAAATTGTGTTTGAGATATTAGTCAGACTCTTTACATTCTTTTTTTCTACAGTGTCTTGGTAGGGCAGTGGAAGTATGTCCTGACTCCGGTTTTTCTAAATACATGACCCTAGGTCAGTTAATGGAAGGAGCTTCTGCTGTTCAGTGCTACCAGAAAGGGATTGAGCTAATGCTGAAAGAAAAACAAGAAAAGGAAGCGCAAGAGGTAATTACAATAAATTCAAGCTTTAAATTAAAATGTACATTTAAAACAAGTTCAACATTTCCTTCGGTTTTCAGGTTGTTAGAATATTTGTTTACATCAGTAACTTACTGCTAGCAGCTTTTACATCTGATGTAGCAAATAAATTTAAACTCCTTTCAGGCATTTAAAAAAAAAAAATTCAGGGGCAAAGTCCTGTTGTTCATCCATTTAGATTTTGACTTTGTACTGGGGCCTTAGTTTTGCGTGTACATCCATTTAACTGGCTTATTTGTATGCAGTTGGTTGTTCCTTGGTGCTCTGGCAGATGCACTGTGACTTTGAAGGATACCCCCAATTAGTCGGCCCCTACGACATGCTTGTTGGGGAGGCATTGGGCCTATTCTTATTTTTCTCACAATAGGACTTCAGAACCCACATGGAGATAATTCTTAATGACTTCATCTCAGTTAAAGTGAAAGTTATGTTTCATTTTATCTTTATATACTTTATGATATTTTAAACAGCTCTGCTGTAACTTAGTATGTGGTTTATTTTCATGAAGGTTGCAGCAGCGGCATCTTGTGATGACAGACCAGTCACTGATAGAGATATATCTAATGCCTACTGTTCTATTGCTGAAATTTACTTGACAGACTGCTGGTAAGTGTACGCAATGACATTTATTTTGTAATTAATGCATGCTGAATATGGTCATTGTTGAATAATTTTGCTCTGAAACAAAAATCATATTGAAAGAAGTGTAAAGTCACCATTGTAATATAAAATGTGTGCCATACTGAGCAACAGTCGATTTGACAGAATAAATGTGGAAAATTTAATAAGATTATTTTTCTTTAGTTACTTACCTCAGAGCCGCCGTGGTGTAGCAGCTAGATTCTTGCCTGGGGCTCAGAAAGCCATGGGTTCAGGTTCTAACAGAGCCAGACTTTTTTTTTAAAAATCAGCTTTGCTGCCAGCCCTAAGGGGATACGAGTAAAGCTGGTGGGCATGATGCTGACCACATCACCCACTCACTACCAGTTGGTCTATAAAATGTCTAGCCCTATATGCCCAGTAGGACTGAAGACTTGAAAAAGGGTCCTTTCCTTTTTACTTTTACCTCAGTTTCTAGTTCAGCTCAGAAGGCACTAAGAAATGATCTGCTAATATGGGGCTACCACCACACACCCTGTGGATCAATGGGTATTTTACTTTTGTAACATTATGCTCAGTGTATGATGTACAAATAGTCTGATGAATCTGTGTGTGTATTTTTTTAATGTTAGGAATGAAGGCAAAGCAGAAAACATTGAGTTATATTTTCTAGATTTTTGGGGGGGAATTAAAAGTAATAAAGAAGGAAACAGGACATCCCACCTCACATGTTATAACCTAGAAAATTTGAAGGCTGATACCATTTACAAGTCCTTATTTGTTGCCTAGGGGATTATGGTAATTGGATTTAATAAATCTGACATAACAGTTCATTTCAGCTGCTGGTGATTCAGAATAATATTGTCGGCTGTTCAGAAAGCAGTGGTATGCCACTGAATGTCAAATTGCCTAATAAGACCACAGACAACCAACAAATGTTGGTGTTGGTTTGCAGTGCCCTGTAAAGGATTTGCAACTAACTTTGCCATTTGTTCAAAAGGAACAACAATTTGTTATTGGATAAATATTTAATGTGACTCGTTTGGATTGGTCTATTCCTCAGCTTTGATGAGGCTGCAGAGGAGAAGTGCAAAGAATTTGTAGAAAAGGCTTTAGCAGCTGATGGGGATAATCCTGAAGCTCTGCAGTTGAAAGCTAGTTTTTTGCTTTCGAAACAAGAAATAGAGGTAACAGCTAAACATGAATTCTTTTAGTATTATATTTTATGATTTTGTGTATCTTTTCTGTACATGTCAGTTCTCGTTATGCCTAGTGGCACATGAGGCTTCAGAGAGGACTTTCTATGCTTTTTTGACCCGTGCAATCTTCAGTGCAGTTTTCCATGTCAGAGATGTCGCAGTCAGGTCACTTTACAACGTACATCTCCATGTTGTTTTTGGGCGCCCCATTTTTTCTCTCTTTCCCTCTGGTATCTTTGAGAGATCTGTTTTAGCAGGTATATCAGGATTCGTTCTCATATCATGGCCAAGCCATTTCTGTCTTTCATTTCTGTACATAAGCCATTCATAATGAATATTACATGCCTCTTGTCATGAAGTACATGAAAAATTACTTTATTGCAATTAATGTATGTGTACGTAGATTATTTAGCACAGGGTTGTTAATGGAGGTTATTTCACAATGCTGTAAATGTTAAAATGTGACTTTAAAAATTGTTATGGCATAGTTTTTTTTTTCTTCAAAATGTAAAGATTACCGTATAAAATCATTTGAAAAAACAGGTATTGGTTACAATTGTTGGTTAGGTGTAAATTTTCATTTTACATAAGAATTGTTGCATTGTTAAATATGTGGCAGAATGTGCGTGTGTGTTTTTTTTTCTTTTTCTTCTCCGGGGATCATTATAGATACATTTGTGTATGTGTTCATGCTAAAAACTGATTATAAAAATTGTTCCAGGAAGCAAAAGAATTGATAAAGAAAAGTGTGTCACTTTGGTTGCCGAAGCTCCAAGCCTCTGACACGGATACAGCTGGTGATGCAGAGTTTGATGCTGTAGAGGTCTGTACAGAAGTTAATTTTGAAAACAAAAATGTCTGTTTACTAAGTCAGTTAACTGTTATCGGAATTAACTCTCTTCATATACATTTAATTATACCCTAGATATTGCTTTAATTTTCTGGTGTTCACATATTTAATTCCTGGATTCGGATATCAAAATTGCTTTGCAATACCTCTTACCCATACCCAGTCAACCTCACATGAAAGAAACAGTCTATTGTACAGTGGAACTCCAGTATTCGTTCACGCCAATATTCGTCTTTTCAAAATTCAAATTTTTCTTTGAAGTTTTTGTTTGATATTCATCTGAAAATTCAGTATTCATCCCCAAGAGGAGGATCATAAAATGGATCTCACAACACAAGAGCTACTCAAAGCTTTGTAGACAACAGGAAGCTGAGGCAGTCAGAGAAATTTCATCAGACGAGGGGGAAAAAAGAAGATGATGGGCCAGTGCTGAAATTAAGGAATGGCTGTCAAATTCAGAAAAAATGCAGGTTTCATTGAAAATGGGACCCAGACATCACTACAGTTGGTCAGCCTGTCAGTTTATTTGATGATGATTTGTTTAGACATTTAAAAAAAAAAATAAAGAACAGAGCGGAACAACAAAATTGGATACCTTCTATTAAAATAAAGATGAGTGCTAGTGAATTGTCTAAGAAACGTTGATGAATCATCAGGACATCAATCACTAAAAGTGACACTGCCGAATGTCATAATGGAAGGTGACTCCCCTTCCAAACAGTAGCCATGTTTTTGATCCAAAAGGTAAATTTCTTTTTCTAATTTTATTTACATATCTATGTAGGTCTACAGTAAATTTATGTCATCAGGACAATAAATGATTTTTTACATTGATTTTCAGGTGAATTTGTGTGTGTGGGGGGGGGGGGGGGGGGTAAAAGAATAGACAGGCAAAATTTGTTGCTGGGGGAGGGGGGGGGGGGGGCAGGTTAAACCATTTTTAGTTGATTCCTGTGAGGGAAAAACAGTTTTTAAAAAATATCCATCCTTTGCTCAGGAATGGATAATTGAATAATATTGGAGTTCCGCTGTATTTAGTTTGTGTAATAGACTTTACAGGCAAATGTTAAAAGAAATTCTGGTTTGCGGATTCAGAACTTTGCGTGTGTTGGCAGGCACCACAGAAAACTGAACAGGTGCTACGGACCTTCTTTCAGCATGCAGTAGAGACTCCAGGTTTGGCCAGTTGGCATTCTAATGGAAACCAAGCTGTATGAATCAGAGAAAAACATCCATTGCACCACAGCCTTTATAGAGGCTTGAAGCTTTTCATCTGAAAGTCACTGGCAGGGAGAATGAAAAGAAGAAGTGGTTTTCCCTCGCATGGATGTCTTTATGATGTGTGCATGTCTGTTTCTCTCCCCTCCCTCCCTCTCTCTCTCTTTCCCCTCCCTCCCCCCCCCCCCCCTCCCCCCCCCCCCCCCCCCCCCCCCCCCCCCCCCCCCCCCCCCCCCCCCCCCCCCCCCCCCCCCCCCCCCCCCCCCCCCCCCCCCCCCCCCCCCCCCCCCCCCCCCCCCCCCCCCCCCCCCCCCCCCCCCCCCCCCCCCCCCTCCCCCTCTCTCACTCTACTTCTTATGCATTGTTAACACAAGTTCGCTTGAGAGGAAAGCCTCAGTTAACATGAACATAATTTTTGTCCCAGTAATGGTGTATTAGTCGCAGGTTAGCACGCTTTTTTTTTTATAAACACAAGCTCTTGCTGTTTTCTTTTGGAATTTATGTTAACAGTGTTTTACTTATTTTATTTTGGTATAGCAAGTTTAAATTGTGTCTTTGATCAGACATGGTTTTGTCCAAACCGAAGAAAAGTATGCACTGTTCTGAACCAATGGGGAAGATCATATACAGTTCTATTACTTCATGTTGCTTCATAGTTTTGTTGCAACAGGGAGAGATCTCTATAGATTAAGGAAAGAAGATCAGGTACACTTGTGCCATGAAAGGAAGAAGCTTTGCTACAAAGATATAGAGTTTCAGAGACAAGTCTGCCACAAAAGAAACATGTAACCTTTTATTCTTCATGTAAAATTGGATGGGTGACAATATATATTAAACCATTTGCTCACTTCACTCTTAGCTGATCTTAACAGTTTTGTAATAATTCATTTCTATATATTGAAACATACCTTTATAGGAATTACATTGCAAATGCAGTGCACTTACCTAAAAAGTAAGTTTGTGACTACTTTCAGATATGTCCAGTACCATATTCTACAAGAATGCAGTGTGCAAAAATACTTATTGAGGTTGAAGAATATGAGGTACGCCTTTAAAACCTGTTATTCTTAGTCACTTGTATCACTTCTGTAGGAAGTTATCAACAGACTATATGCATAGTAAATCTGATAATGTACAGTGAATTTTCTAGTGCAACTTCAAGCTGTAAATAATGCTGTTCTTATACATATTGGACCTGAAATTCATTCATACCTAATGGACTCAGTTGCATTTGATTTAATGGACTCATGTTGCATTTGATAACATTTGAAAAACATATAATTTATTCTATCTCGAGACGTCACAAAGGATCTACATATGTTTGTTTATAAATTTATCATTCTTATGTTAACCTGTCAGTTGTTTGGGAGTTGTAGACATTTGTTTGGCTGTCAACCTGGTGGTCCTAGGTTTCAGTTCTCCGTGAGGGAAATTTTTCTGATCAGGTAATGACTGTTCGATCTTCATAGCAGGCGAGTCACCCCATTGCTTCTCCATTTCTGTGCCATCGAAAACAGACAGAATGCCTGTCATTGTCCCCTGTTTTAAAAAATGCATACAGACTGCATTCTCAGCAAAACCAATAGCATACACATGCATTAAATGCATAAGGCAGCTGTCAGAAGTGCCAACACAAACAGTTTGGCACTAAAAATGCAGTTGATCATCGATGGAAGCAGGAGTTAAAACAGATCAGTGTTTGCACATGCAAATAGTCACATAAGGCATCCTGAGTTCTCTGGCAACAGGCCAGTAGCCATTTTCTGAATCTGCGTTTCACAAAACAAACCCCGTTGAGCAGTGGAATAGTATTCCAAATGAAATCCACAGCTCAGAATGTCACACCCTGCACACAGCTCAAAAACAGTGATAAACTATGTATCCTTTCATCTAGAAAATTCAATAGCTAATTATTACAGAAACTTGCCATGACCAAAACCAGTTAGCCAACCTGTCTGCTATATTGACAGGAAGTCTTTACTGAGCTATCTCCATTCTTGATCCTACCCAAAAATTGGTATCTGGAAATGTTCAGGATAGAAGTGGCTGACATAATACTGAACATAACTGATCAGTTGTTGAGTCTGTCGAAGTATGAGGCAAGCACCATATGCTCAGTATACCTTAAGATACTGTGCAGTGGATGTCCTTACAGGACTTTGCATAGATGTGCATGTTATGAACACATATCAGGTGTGTGTAACCACTGGTAAGACAGTTTCTAAATCTAAACCAGCTAAGATTTAAGCATGGAAGGCAGACCATCTTTCAAACTGATAATTTCACAGAAGCTCCTGGAATGATGGGAGTGGGGGCTGCATGAGGGGTGTGGCAGCGGTCTGTGGCCCGTCATAAGCTTTGCTTTACATCAGTACTTTTTGATGGTGACGCCAAAACATTACGGAGCTTACCAAGATCAAACCTTATGGGGAGGTCATTCACATAGACAATCTATACTTTACACACTGCTCATTTTTAAGTCATATTAAACATTGCACACAGAGAAACGTCAATGGAAATTTAAATAAACCTCATTATTGAGGTAATTAATTGTATTGTACATCTAGAGATGCCATTCTAATACAACAGTGGATTCTCTGGGTAGCTAATTTACTCTGTACTTTAGATGACCAATTGCCAGAAATACTTTTTTATCGCAAGATGCAAAAACACTAAAAGACATAAGCACTAAAAGAGATACAATTAAGAAAAAAACTTTGAACTGGCATATGTGAAACTTGCACAAAGCCAAACAACTTCTTGCATTTATCTTTGTGCAGGTGTTGTGGGACATGAGGCATTTGCTTAGAAGCTGGGAAACATTAAATATGGTCAAGGAATGTACATGAATCAAACTTTCATGGTTTCTGAGGCCCTATTGGAGGGGGAGGGGGGGGGTGTAAATAGAACCACTGCTGCCCTAAAAAGCATGTAGTCAAAGCCAGCTAACTAAGGGTGTTTTCTTAGAAGTCAAAGTGCATCTGCCCGAGAGGCAAGGAATTTGCAGTCTGCTTACAAATAAGCCAGATCTGTAAAACAGATGTGCACACAAAACTGAATTTCTGGAACAAGATTAAAGAACAGAAGTGAACGAACAACCAGGACTTTCTGCAGGAGTTTACAGCTCATGAACACTAAAAAGATGAAAGAACTTTAATTTACGTAGTGATTCCAGTGCCCCCCCCCCCCCCCCCCCCCCCCCCCCCCCCCACCCCCCCCCCCCCCTCCCCCTCCCCCCCCCCCCCCCCACCCCCCCCCCCCCCCCCCCCCCCCCCCCCCCCCCCCGGTCCCAATACAAATGTCTTTTTTTTTTTACAATACTGTTTCTTGGTTTTGGATTATGGTAATCACTGGTGTGGGGATATTTGTAGAGAATAATGATTGGTTATTTGCTGTGGTAGATCCAATTAAATTGATGATGCTAATTTGGTTTCTGTCTGCTTTCAGTTATCCACGGATGTTTCAGAAACATTACTAGATGAGAATGACGAAGTTCCAGATGTGTGGTACCTTATAGGATGGGCCAACTACCTCCAGGGACAGGACTACTATGGCAATGCTAGACATTATTTACATAAAGCAAAGGAGGTTGGTATCTTATTTTGGTGTCTTCACATATTTAATGATTGTTGTCATTTATAATTTTTTAAATAATGTTGCTGTCTCTACAGTTGAGGTTGGCTGCAATGCATTCACTATTTTGGGGAATATTACCATATTTTCCGTGTATATTATAATCTCATGTATACAACAACCTCTTGTATAAAACAACCCCTAATTTTTGTTTATGTCAGACATGACCCCACCACACCAACATGACGGAAGGGGGGATATATTTTCTGATACACTGACAAATGTGGTATGCGCTGAGATCCCAAACTCGTCCATGGGGAAACTATCGAAACACCGAAAATGTTCTTATTCTAAGCAACCCAAGGCAAAATGAATTCCGGTACACCAAGGTTTAGATTGTGAAACCATTTTACTAACCTGTGAGCCACACAGCCGTTTATCATTATTACTGTTAAAATAAAATGCACATTCACAAAATTAGTAATATTGTTTTAGTATTCATAGAGAGAGCCCACTTAGAAGCATTCCCTCCAAAGCTCTCAGAATATTTGAATGCTTAATGCTGTGTGGCATCTTGTTGGGCATTTGAGAAAAGAGAAAGGCCAGACAGATCATTTTTGTCATCTATTTTCTGTTAGATAATTTTGTAAGCTCCAGTTGAAAGATCTGGTTGTTCATCCAATGATGGACTAAAGTTCTAGAACAGGACCATAGTCTGTAAGGGATGAACAACCAGATCTTTCTGACAGAGTTTACAGGCGGCGAATGCTAAGAAGAAGAAAAATCTTCTACATTTGTCCTATGCTGGCACCATTGTATCATGGTTTACAGTCAGGTTGCTTTTTTTTCTAACCACCACCAGGTAGCATTTTTTTTAAAAAACTTTTCAGTCCAAACTATCCACCTTCATCTAACCCTTAATATGTCCCTTTACGACCAGCAGTGGATGTGTTCTCTCAAACTCACTTAACACACCCCCCCCCCCCCCCCCCTCCATCCTTTTGAGCCCACTTTTGGAGATTCACTTGATGTTAACATTGACAAGGGCAATGATTTTGAGTTTTGGAAGAATGTGTGCAGAATTCTGATAGTTTGTTCAATTCTGCATTTAAAAAAAAATATCTGATATTAGTGGCTTTGAGCCATCAAAACATGTATCATTTTCTACATGAAATATTTATGTATTGCTGTCTATCATGTGTGAATATTTGTGTTTGTTTCAGGTATACGTGAAAGTGAAATATCAAGATCTAGCTCTCTTAGGGCATATAGATGAACTTCTCAAAGAATTAGGACCAGGTAGGTTGATTTTCTTTCTTTGAGGAAATCTATTTTCATGAATGTTGTGCGCCATTCCGAAAAGTCTTGACATTTAGAATTTATTTTTAATTTATTATTTAGATTACTTTATGTGAGCTGAACTTTTACAACCACTGAGATAGTATTAACAAGTTTATGTATTCTGTGGTTTTATAGAATTACGGAGTTGAGTTGAGTCAAGAATTGACATCACAGCACTCGGAGCATTCCCATGTGTGCTCCGTCCTCATCTTCAGCAGCCAGTGCAAAGTTGCAATACTGATGGTACCGGTCACAATCTGGTTATATGTCCGTCTTGTCTTTCCTCTGAGTGTAGTGAGCCGGCCAGACCCTCTGGTTACACCCAGGTGCCTCATTCTCTCCAGGCCATGATCTTGTTTCTCTACTGATTCCATTGCTTGTTCCCAAAGGACCTTGACCACATCTGCCTTGTCATGTATCAGTTCAAAACCCCATGGTGCAGATCCAGCCAATCTGTCTGCCTGTTCATTACCCACTATGCTGGTATAGTATAGCCTTGGAGAAAAGATCCAAAGTATGCTCACTAACTGTGACCTTCCCAGTGAAGCTTGCCACTCTGCTTGAAGCATCCCTATCTTCACCTTTCTCAGCATGCCTTCAGAGTCTGTTACAATTGCGACATGTGTATGCATCTTGTTCTCTAGCCACCGGAGAGCTGCAAGAGCGAATTACGGAGATTTATCATAGTACACTAGATAAGTGTTCCTGAATCCTTTTCACACCTGCAGCCCACCAAAACAGTGGACATAGTTGCTAAAAAAATTGTTTATGATAACATAGACAACGTGCAACAATAATATCCATTTGATTTCTTCCTTTTGTTTAGTCTTTTCACACAAATAGAAAGTCCTTGCGGTGTTGTTGCTACAGACTGGGGGTAAAAACCCACCTATTCTACCTTGTTACACGATTAAGCAGAATTTTTTGGAAGTCCACATGTACTTTCTGCACCAGTGGGTTGAAGAGCTAGTTAGTTAGTTAGTTAATCGAAAGATCATACTAATTACACATTGGACAAGCCCATAAGTGCTCTGATCTCATCTTCAGTATATCCCTTAGCGTATGGCAACTGATAATACCAGTTCTATGTTGGTTAACTATTCTTTTTTGGGTCCTGTTTATGAAGTCGGGTCCAGGATGAGAGTGACTTCCCTTGCCATTCATGCCTTGTAAGGTCACAAGCTTCTCCTATGCTATGTTCTCCTCCTTCCCACCGCTCGGTAGCATCATATTTTCACATTCTGCTACCTGCACAACGGTTTGGCAATATGGAAACAGTGAAAGTTTTCTGTTCCTGCATTCCTTGTAAGTGCTTTCTTTCTCTCAGGGTAAGCCACCGCCAACAAACGTAGAAATAAAAAAATATTCCAGTTCCGATTCTACTTAAGAATTGTTGCGCCTGCGGCACTTTCCCCTGCAGTACTTGTTAGTTGTACACAGGTGCATAAAATCGATTCACAACAACACAACCTCTCACAAACATTATATACACCAGACGAACGCCAAACCAAGCCATATCATAACACCCTCACAACGTACAAGAGGTCCTGTGACCTTAGGATGCATGAATGGCAACGGAAGTTACTTTCATCTTGGGCCAGACTTTGTAAATAGGACCCTTTTTTGGCTACCTCTATAGTTTTCATGTCAAGCGACACCTCTTTGGTCTGAAGCTCATGTAGTCATTTGAATGTTGCTGATTCGTCGTCATCTCTTGAATCATCTTCTCGTCCTGCCTCCTTAAGAGCATTGATAATGTCGGCCCCGTCCATTGCTTTTCCTGTACCTACCATGGCCCTGTCAGCAAGCCAGTCCGTTCATTTATTTGCTCATACCCTAGTGACCTGGTACAAAGATGAAACCTAATTCGTTTCAGAGGAGATGTAATCCATGACTCCAAACACTTTCTTCGAATCCATCTTGTCTCTATCTTAACCATGCTCATGGAATCACTTCAAAAGCACGTATGAAAAAAATGCAATGTCTCTAGCCACATCATTGCCTTTGTTACTGTCATCACTCCAAAGACTAATTGTAAGGTTACCAACAAAGTGTTCGACCACATCTTGAATACGGGTCTACAGCATGTAGTTCAGCAGCAAAAACCACATTGCAAGAATTAGACAAAGTGCAAAATCAAGCACTCGGAGTTACCACAGGCAGTATGAAATCAACACCTATAGCTGTGATGGAGAAAATGGGGATGACCCAAGCACTGAGTGAACGCAAAGACACCAAGATGCTTTTACAAGCAGAACAGTTTTCTAGTAAGCCCAGTCACCATATGAATGAAAGATTCCAAAATCTAGCTTTGGGATGACTAAAGAGAAGTAGTTTCATCCACCAGGCCAAACGGCTCTGCAGACAAACTACTGATTTGCCTGCAACTGATAATCCTCAAATGCTGTCCCAGAACGGCCCCCTGGAGAGAGGAGAATAAGCTTCCAATACACATCAAGACAGAAGTGAAAGGAGTATATGACAAGGAAGAACAAAACAGTGTGCAGTGCAAAACAGCCACCCTCAGTCTACTTGCTGAATACCCACAGAATCTTTGGGTCTGTGTTTACACAGATGGGTCAGCAGAAAGTGCAGTCAGAAACGGAGGTGCAGGAGTGTACATTGAGTATCCTAATAATACCAGGAACACAGCCAAAATACCAACAGGAAAGCACTGTCACAACTATGATGCAGAAGTTCAAGCCATCAAGAAACCGGTAACTACTAAATACAGGGTATTTTTCACAACCAGTGGTATTCCTGACAGATGCAAAAGCGGTACTTCAGGCACCAAGCATACGGACACTATTATCCGAACTAGGCTACCATCGTAAATTAGTAATGCAGTGGATAACTTCCCACTGTGGAGTTCTCGGAAACGAAAGAGCTGATAAACTAGCTAAGGAAGTGCAACTGAAGAACATCCCGACATACCAGTCTCTTATCAACAAAAGAAGAGAATGATCAAATCAATCAGAATGCCACCGAAACTGGCACAAGACGATTACCATATTATGGACAGACCAGAGCAAGTCATTATTCTTCGCCTTAGAACAGGGCACAATCGACTTCGCTGCCACATGTACAACAAATTTAAGATCGGCCAATCAGCCATGTGTACCTGTGGACTAGCACCTGAGACAACAGATCTTCTTTTACAGTTTTCCCTTGAACCGGGACAGCCCATGAACTTTGTACGTGTTGAACGACAGATCTGCCAGCAGTAGAAAACTGCACCTCTGTAGGTAGAATTTTCAAGAATTAAGGCTTGAACTTCTGCCTCAACCACACTGCACTAGACAACAGAAGCAGATATGTAGATATCCATTGATAGATTTTTAAAAAAAAACTTCACTTGAGTGTTTACTAATTTCTGTTCTTTGAATATCCATCAGCATATATTAATACGATTATATCTACTTCTTGAATGTAGTCACCCCTACTTTTACCACTGTATATGTCATATTTGTTTTCTGTCACTTGTTCAGGTCGTGAGGAAGATACTGAAGGTGTTAAGGAGCCAGATGTAGGTCTGGAGATTGAAAGCTCTGATGACGAGGAGATGGATCAGTAAACTGTATTCGTTGCACATTAAAATTGTTTGGCGTAACATAAAATCCCCACTCTCATGTTCTTTCAGTTTTAATATTTTGGGAGTAGATGAATTGGAGTTTGCTTGAAATAATTATTCAAGAGAAATTAAATGGGTTGACTCAAGGTAATTCAGAATCCAAGAAGCAATACTGTCCACGAGCCAATCCCCCTCAAGTGCTTAGATTCTAAACAAACTTGGTGCAGCATGAGACTCTAAGCATCTTTATGTGTTCTAAAGCCCTTCCAATTTCTTATTAGAGGTTCCCATTTTTGTTAATGCTCGCACAGTAGGACAAGACTTGCATCTTTGTCTTAGGTTACTCACTATATTTTCTGCATATATGTCAAGCAGTTATGGAGACGAAATATACCCTTAAGATTAGGTAATATTTTTCTCCAGTAATGATCGAAACCCACTGCTGGGTGCGTGGATTTTTATCATGGATGGAGCGTCACAGATCGACCCAGCCTAAAATGGTCACCAGGATGTGTGTCCTGGGGAAGTAAAGATGATGGGTGTAATGCTGACCACATTACCCACCTAGAGTCGATTGGTCTGTACAAATATGGGTGCTCTTTCCATATGCACGATGTGCCTAAAGGCGTGAAAAGGAATCTTTACATTATTCCTCAGCCATTCTTTTGGTATGAAAATATAAATGAACCAAGCAATTATAATGCAAAACCAGCTGCAGACACACATAACATGTTCATTTCATGAGTTTTATTGTTACTTAATATACAATGAAACCCATATAATATAAAAAATACAGGCAAGTACATCAATCAGTCAATATATCTTCCTTAAATATATGTCCCCTCTGAATGGTCTCAGAATAAAAACTGTTTACAGTTTTCTGAGTCCTTCCTGGAATGAGTTAAAATGTTATGACTAATAAATAATAACAACAACAAAACTAATTGTCTTCAAATAAAAAAGGAAAATAATGTATTCAAAGTCTGGCTATTTGCATTTGTCTTCCCTTGTTTAAATGTTCTATTCAATAGGCTTTATCAAAGAACGGTGATCACTTATCATCTTGGTACATGATGATGGTGATATTTACAAGAATAAAACCAACAACAATGTTAACTTATGGAAAACCAACAGGCAATTAATTTTTTAAGAATTACATGACTCATGATGCAATATGTGAGTAAACTCTCATCCCTTTTCTTCTGACAGAAAATAACATCTAAACTTTATTTTTCTTACATTAAGGATGAAGGGTGTGCTGTTGTTAGTCACACACTGTTGAAGTTTAAATATTCAAACTTATTTAAGTTTTTACAACTGCATACCACATATGACTGTAAGGGGATATTTTAACATGAGCGCTAGAACATATGAGTGGATTTTTTTTAATATCCAGAAACCATGAGTTGTAAACCCTTTGGCTCGGTACTATGGATTTCACTACCCTTTGGCCTTGATTCCATGATAGATACCGTAAATCTCTGAGAAATGTTGCTTTTCTGCCTAACCTCAGACAACGAGTTTGCCAACCGGTCTGGGTAGATAAATTTATAGATATGAGAATACAGTTCCAGTACTATCACAGCTTTGAGTTGATTAGTAGTCTGAGCATCGTACAAAAAAAAACAGTGGCAAACTACACAACATTTAAATAACAATAAATGAAAAAATCAGCCAATTAAAGCTATGTTAGGTTTACAACATCCTCAGAACTCAGAAGGACATGCAATTACCCTTTTTTTTCATGTATTAGACGCCCCTATTATTTTAGCCCAAAATTAGGAAATAAATATTTTAAACACAATCCCAATTTTATACTTTCTAATTTTTAGAAAACATTGTCTTATATATGAAAAATACAGTAACTTTAAAGTAGCACAAAGGCTTGCCTATGTCCGAATTCGTATTAACTCTTTGAGTCCCAGGGGATTTAGCATCACAGGCCCAAGGGGTAGTCAAAAGAAACGTAAAATCGGCGCATCATGCGTTCATTGGGCCTCTAGGTAGGAATCTATGAACGTATGATACGTTTTTTGGGACTCAAAGAGTTAAGGTAAGGATTTTTTTAAAAACTGATCAGTTTCCAGATTGACCCAGCTAAAAATGGGCATTAAGAAACTGACTGAAAAGTATAGGCAGTCAAGATTTATTGGTCTATAAATATACAGGACTGGCAACATATACCCCATATGTCTCCAGGTTATGAAAAGATTTTTTTTTTTTGGGTCAACAGTAAAAACCTACCTAAAGTATTCAAGAGTCCTCACCGGTGCTATGGAGTTCGTGCACTGTGCTGAGACTCTTCAGACTCAGGCTTGAGTTAGAAGTAGAACGGAGCACTTATGGGTTATTACCCTTGTGAAGTGATGTTGATCCATTGTGTAAAACCACGTTATTCTGGCTTTCCATGTAATCAGGCATGGTTGTTTTCCAACCTTCTCTCCAATGCTGGTATTTGTGACCCTGTTTTGTTTTGTTTTTCTTGAGTTGTAGACAGCACGTTTTGCAGGTGGTTATTTTCTATGCCCAGGATCTACTCATTGTCTATGTTTTAGCACTGACAGCACAAAGTGGAAATAAGGATGATGTTGAATTTTTTTTTTTTTTTTTTAATTTAAGGGAGACATTTGGGTGTCTGAGTAGTAGGGATAGCTGTTAAGTGATAGCATTTGTCATTTGAACTTCTATCTCTAATGAGTCTGCCATCATCTGTATGTTTCCTAGGTATGTGAATTCCATGTACTTGTTTCACTGTTATTAAGGGTCTTATTACTTATTGGTATTACAGCAGTAAATGTGTGAACTAAAAAAATATTCCACATATTGATTACATGAATTTTTACAACAAGTAAGATTTAGATAAACTTTTCTATGCAAGACCATATACAAGCAAAGAAGCACAACTCTTGTAAAAAGGTATACATTTTTTGTAAAAGTATGAAGTATCTGTTTATTGCACTGTGGGAAGTAAGACTGAAACATCCACCTCGGTGAACATTCAGTAATTTTTGTTCCCCACTTACGACGAAGGTAGTCTGTTCCATGACAGATGCTGCCATCTGGATGGAAATAGCTCTGCCTTCACACATCATTGGCACTATGCCAAAGTCACCTATTAAGTGTGAAATTGTTAATGATGTCTGTATATTTTTCTTTAGCAAATGACTCGTCACAAATACAGTGATGTGTGCAAAAAAAACCATCTTAAAGATATCTTGTCAAAAATATAAACCCAGCACATATTACAAAAAATTAAAAAAGCAGACTTACTGATATACAAATTTTACATTAACCAAAAAAAAAATGTCACAACTCAAAAGCAATGCAGATGCAATCATTGTTAGAACACAAGATAACATGTATAGTGCATGTTGCATGATGAGAAAGGTAATAAAACAGCATGCATGTTGCATCATGAGAAAGGTAATAAAACAGGGTGAGAATTTCATCAGAAGTCAGTTATCTGTTAAATTTGTTGAAACTTGGACAATAAGCATACAACAAGCTGAAAAGATGTTTACTTACAGCAGAGAAGTGAACAAGCTGAAAAGATGTTTACTTACAGCAGAGAAGTGAACAAGCTGAAAAGATGTTTACTTACAGCAGAGAAATGAACAAGCTGAAAAAATGTTTACTTACAGCAGAGAAGTGAACAAGCTGAAAAAACGTTTACTTACAGCAAAGAGATAAGTTTTTTTTTTTAAAGAAGAATTTTATGGGATTATGGGTGAAAAATCAATCCTCAAGAACCGTAAGCTTAGAGACAATAGACATAGATAGTCAGTGTTTGTGTGTGTGTGCAACAAATTATGAGAAAGAACTATGTCAAGAACTTGGTTACAACTGGCAAGGCTGGTGGGAACTGAGCAAGGGACAGTCAGTGTTAAAAACCTGGCCATACGGATGGGATGAGACAAGAGTACTAATCTGATTTGTAGTCGCGTGAAATGGTAAAACATAATGGTCTACTCTTAAAGGCAGGCATATGAAGATGATGATTGAAATGTTCAAAAACAAATTCAGAGGCACTAAAATAAATTTCTCGTGCTGTTTTATGAAACAGTCTTGAGGTTGTTTTTTTTTTAAATGAATGTGTGTTATGCGCAAAAGCTTTTTTAAAGCCACCTTTCTATACTGTATCATCATCAGTTGTCGTTATGCCTAGTGGCATATGAGGCTTCAGAGAGGTCTTTCCATGCTTTCCTGTCCTGTGCAATCTTCAGTGCAGCTTTCCATTTCAAAGATGCCGCACTCAGGTCACTTTCCATGGTTCGTCTCCATGTTGTTTTTGGGCGCCCCTGTTTTCTCTTTCCCTCTGGTGTCCATGTGAGAGCTGTTTTGGCAGGTATATCAGAAGTCATTCTCATAACGTGGCCAAGCCATTTCCATCTCTTGGTAATCATACTGTCTAAAGTTTCTTGGTTTGTGGCTTGAAGTAGTTTAGTGTTTGAGATTGTATCTGGCCAGAAAATTTTGATAATTCTACATAGACATGTGCGGTGGAAGGTGGACAGCTTGTGTGCATCCTTTTTACTCTTTCTCCAGCATTCCGCTCCATAAAGAAGAACTGGCAAAATGATGCTCTTGTAGAGTTGGAGTTTTGTTCCTCTGCAGTAATTGTTGGATTTCCAGATTTGCCTCATCCTTCCAAAAGCAGCTCTAGCTTTGTTCAGACGTGACTGTATGTCTTCCTCTGTCCCTCCCAGTAGGGACACCACACTGCCAAGATATGTGAAATGTTCTAAATTTTCAAGTGATTGGTTACTTATGGTCACTGGTTGTTGGTTTGGACTGCTTGTCATGATCTTAGTTTTCTTTGTATTTATTCTCAGTCCCACCATTTCTGCTGTGCAGTTTAGTCTGTTACTTTTCTCTTGTATATGTTTATGTGATAGGAGTGCTATATCATCTGCAAAATCAAGGTCCTCAAGCATGGTGAATGGAGTCCATCGTATGCCTCTTAATGTCCTGTCTACTGTGTTCTTTAGTATCCAATCAATCACAAGGTTGAAGAGGAGAGATGACATAACACATCCCTGTCTTATACCCGTCTTTACTGGGAAAGATGTATTGTAATTTTTTATACTGCAGGAAAAGTCTTTATAGAAGAGAGCAATTATGTTAACTATTTTTTTCTGGAATTCCATAATGTTGTAAAATTTTCCACAGACCGTCTCTATGGACGCTGTCAAAAGCTTTCTCAGTCCACAAAATTAATATATATACTTCTCAGCCATTCGTTGCTTTGTTCTAAAATGTTACGTATGGCAAAGATGTGCTCAGTTGTTCCTCTGCCCTTTCTGAATCCTGCTTGTTCCACTCGTAGGCATTTATCTACTCCTTTTTCAAGCCGCATTATGATGATTTTACAAAATATTTTGCTTGGTACTGAGAGTAGAGTAATTCCCCTCCCAATTATTGCAGTCTGTTAAGGCTCCTTTTTTGGGGATTTTGACTATAGTTCCTTCAGTCCAGTCTATACTGTATATAGGCAGTCTTTCCCCTTCAGAGTTTGGTAAGCAGTCTTATTTATGGTTTCTTTTTAGTGTTCACCAGCTGTAAACTCTGGCGGAAAGCTCCGGTTGTTCATCCTTTCCTGGAGTTTGGACTTGATCCAGAGAGGCGTGCACACATCTGTTTTATAGATCAGGCTTACCTGAATGCAGACTGTTGGTTCCCTGCTTCTCAAGCAGATGCACTCTGACTTTCAAGGAAACAACCCTAATTAGTTGACTTCTATGATTTGCTTGTTCGGCAGGGGTCTATTTGTTGTTCTCCAAAGCTGAGGGAAACCGTCACAGAAAATTTATGTTTATAAAGTTAAAGTCAAAAGAAGTCAAGTTCACTGCACAAAGTTTCAGCTCATATGCCTTAGTCCCTTCCCAAGAACAGCTAGCTACCTGCCGAGAGCACGGCACAAAGCACAAACTCACAGCTCCAGGGATCTTCTTAAAAATTGCATTCATGAACTGAATGAACAGCTAGCTGCCTGCCGAGAGCATCGCACAAACTCAATAGCTCTCCTTAAAAATTTAATTTGTGAACTGAGCCTCCCTGAAGATGGGGGGGGGGGGGGGGGAAGTGGCTAGTTTTCTTTGTCTTTGCCAACTATTTTTTCCCAAGCAACCTCCAGGTACATTTTGCTAATAATCCTTTATCCATTTTATAAATTCTCGGTAAAGCTTCTCTTGCACCACACAAACACACAAAAATCCTGCTGGTGATGGGGATAAAACCTGGTAAGCAAGTACGCTCACTATGTCACTAGCACCGTGCTAGTAGGGAAGACTAATGGGATGTATGTAGAAACTGGCTTTTGTTGCTTAGGAGTTCTGCATGCAAATTTATAATTCAGAGATACCAGGTTCGATACAGAATTGCAGGCGATATGGCGGCAGAAAATTTGTGTTCATTTCAACAATGGTATGAGAGCTGTCTGTGTGAAAGCAATGGCAAACTACTGAACATAAAATTGTCTAGTTAAGCTACAAACAACCAACAAATGTTAAGGCTGGTTTGTAAAGGACATACACTAACCTTTTTTTTAAAACACAAGAAACTGTCGTCATATTCTGACCAGAAAACTACCAGAATACTATTATTACATGGTACACAAACACAGACCACAATGGCTCTTGTCATACTCTGTTTTCTTCTTCGTGTTGTATCGAGTGTATTCTTTCAATGACTTGGTCAATAAAGGGTCGTTCTTCTGCCTTAGGTTTCAGCATCCATGATATTGTGTCTGGTATTTTCTTAGAATACCTGGATAACAGAGAATGGGTTCTTGAATTATTCATTACAATTGCCTTTGCTGAAAGGTTAAAACGTTAAGTAAGTTTATAAAAGAACAAATATGATTCTCAAGAAACAAACCAAATTGTGGTTTCCCCTTGCCAAGACCCAAAGACAACTTATAACAAGCATCAGACACAGGCCTAATTTTTTTGGTGGCGTTATGCAAAGAAAGAAACTGGAGCGTGTTGTGACAACTGGAAAGATTCTTGACAAACTTTTATCGTAGCATGGAGGGGTGTCAAAATGAATACAAAAGCAGAAAGCAAGAATATATAAGCTACACAATATAAAAGGTATAACACCACACTATTTTGGGAAGCATGATTTCGTCTTCTATGTTCATCTGAAGATGTAACTGCATTGTAAACATTTACAGAATGGTTGCGATATTTGCGCCTTTCAGCCGACACATCTGACTTCTGCAGACGTTTGTTGACCAGGATAGCCTTCCCGGAGTAGCATGATATGATAATTTTAACAGCTCAAAAGACATGAAAAAACAAGGAAATAATATTTAATTGAAATAACGATTAAATATCCTGATAAAATAACCCAGAAGGAAAAGCAGTTGTTAAAAATAATATGCAATACATCCAGACACTCCTAAATATCTGACCAAGAAATTGGTACGTTAAAAATTTTTTTTTTTAATTATAAAGTAATATTCTTGAAGCATGCTGAATTAAAAATCATCATAGCACTCGGGACACTCTCATAAGTGCTCCGTCCCCATCTTCAGCAGCAAATGAAAAGTTCCAATTCTGGGTATCAGTAACTGTCTGATTGTACGTACATCTATCTCGCCTTTCCCTTGAGTGCTGAGCGTCGGCCAGATCCCCTGGTAACTCTCCACGTCACCATTCTCAGACCGTAATGATTTGTTTGCGCCTCCTCACTGTTCACTCACACCCAAATGACCCTCACAACATCTAGCTTGTCAGACATCAGTTCACCACCGTAGTGCACAACCAGCCAGTCTATCCGTCTGCTCATTTCCCAACACACCGGCATACCCTGGAGAAAATATCCAAAGGATGCTAACTACCTTGGACTTCTGAAGCGATGCTTGAAACTCTGCATGGAGCATGCCTGTCTCCAGCTTTCTCAAAACATTATGTGAATCAGTTACAATTCTGACATGTGCATACAGCTGATTACAAGCATATGCAAAACAGATATTATAAATCATAGAAGTAAACCTGACACTACATACCCTGAGTTTTCTGGAAAAGTTATTTTAGCAGCCATTGTTGCCAGAGCAAGACTGTCCCCTCGCTGATATGGAGACTCAAATGGCGACTCCAAGAAGGCCAGCGCATACAAAACACAACCTAAAGACTAGCCAATAAATATTAATATAATTGCAAACTGTTTAATTCTGTCCAAGCAGAAAAACATTTCCAACAATTAGTAACATAAAAATGGCAAGAGTTGAGATGTCTGGTTTTAAAAACGTTAATCAAGGAACCCAGTGAATTATTACGGTGTTTAGACATATCCCGTCTCTTCTTTTTTTGTCTTAGCGTTCACCAGCATAAACCTGGTAATTTGTCCACTCCTGGACTCTGGTCCTAATCCAGAGCTTGAGTTTTACATGCACATCCATTTTACAGATCTGGCTTATTTGCATGCAGACTGTTAGTTCCTAGCCTCTCATGTAGATGCACTCCAACTTTGGAGGAAAGACCACTAATTAGTCAACTCCAATGACATGCTTGTTCAGGCGGCAATGGGTCTATTCTCTGTTTTCCACAATGGAGCCCTGGAACAGTTATGGAGAATATACCACCTTAAATGAGCATCAGTTTTGGATTAGGTCTGTGTTATTGATCATGCCACGTCATTTTCATTTTACATTTCCTTTGCTCTTTTCTCATCATGTTTGTCAGTTGTCACCAAGTTTTCAAGTTTATTTCTCCTCATAACATGCTTAACTGTATCGTACTACAGAGGTCTCTGTGGCGAAATAGTCAAGCTATTTGCTTCGCACTTTGAAGTACATGGGTGCATTTCATAGCTGAATCGGTCCATTCAAGATAGCAGTTTTTGGAGACCCCTGGAGTAAAAGTGTTTGGGCGGCACTCTCAGCAGGCAGCTAGACGCTCAGCAGAGAGAGAGACCAAGCCATTAGGGTAAAACCTGTTGCAATGAAGTCGAACCGCTCAACTTTTGTTTTACACTGTAATGTCACAGATTTAACAAATGCCTTTAAGTCTGGCATAAAGACTGAGGCAAATGCAGAGAAAATGAAATACTTCTTCTTCTTCAGCGATCTCTGGTCATGCGCATAATCCACTGTGGGTCATAAACTGGGATGTCTTTTCAAGGTCTCTTAGGTTTCCCCAAAGCTTAGTTGTCAGTTCTACTGGGTGTTGCCATATGTCGCTCCGCAGCTCCGCCAGGAGAGGACAGTCTTGCCGGACATGTTCTGGAGTCTGTTCAGCACGAAGGCACCGGCAGAGAGTTGTTTGGCTCATACCTAATTTATGTGAGTGTTTATTGAGTCTGCAGTGTCCAGTGCGTAAGCGAAAAACTGTGACTTGGTCTGTTCTGTTCAAATGTTTCAGAAAATCTTTTTCGTAGTTATAACCAGTGTTGGTTTTCCAATCTGTTTCTGATTTTCTCTTAATGAGAGTTTTGACTTCTGGAAAAGATAGTGGCTGGTAGGTCTGTGGTTTGTTACTGCCTTCCTTGGCTAAAGCATCTGCGCTTTCATTGCCTTTGATGCCACAGTGTGACGGAATCCACTGCAAGTGAATTTCTGCCTTATTTGACAACATAGCAAGTTCATGTGTTAGACTTTGTAGTGTGCTGTCGGTAGGTTTGGACTCAAGGGCCTGTATAGCTGACAGTGAGTCAGTGAGAAAAACTATCCTGCCTGCGGTGATTTGCAGATTGTTCATATACTGTGCTGCCATCAATAGGGCTGAGAGTTCTGCCTTGTAGTTAGAGCAAGTTCGTCCGGTGGGGGCTGCTAGGGACACAGTAGTGGCATCTGGGTGTTTTATGTAAACACCTGCCCCCACCATTCGTAGTTGCCTCTTTTGCTGATCCATCCATGTAGATTCTGGTCCAGCTGTCCTGTGGGAAAAATGTTGTTGAGGTGTTCCATTGTGAGTGCTTTCTTCACTAAAGCGGGCTCAGCATCTTTGTTTCCCAGGTTCGGGATGGATGTTGACACATTGAGTGTCAATAATTCGGAGTCCCAAAGATCGAAAGATAGCTCTTCAGGTGTACATTGTTGGTTAAGTAGTGAAGAGAATGACTTTCCAAATTCCTTCGTTAGATGGTTTAGGCTTGTGCGCTTTATTCGGTTTTTTTGTCCTGGCTGCCAATTTTTCGTGTAATGGGTGGTTTAGCATTCTCTTCATTTTTTCAGCATGTAGAATTGCTTTTGTCCTTCTTCTTTCTTCTAAGGGGATGATGTTGGCTGCCTTGTCCATTTCTACAATTGGTGTAGATTTTATGGCTCCCAGAATTGTACGCAGACTTCTATTTTGCGTTTTGTCTAGTATCTGTTTATTGGAATGGGCTGCTGTTATCCATAAATGAATTACTAATACCAACAAAATACAAATGTGTTTAGGGGTGCGTGGCCAGCGCTGTGGCTTCAGACTGTGAAAGCTAGGATGTTTACTTCTGTCCCTGACAGAAAAACTCCATCACTTCCAGTGGAGCCCGATGTTGTAACCGCTCGGCAAGCCGCTCCTCACTAGGGGAACAATTTGGATTTGGATTAATCAACAAAGAATGGGTATGATTGGTCATTTTTTGTTTGCGAGCTACTTAAGAGATTGTAACACCAGTGGATCTGTCTGGTGTGTTATGTAATGACAGTATTCACTAAATGTCACCCCTAACTTGAATCAGACTAGACAGCTGCCAAGCTAATGGCAGCGATGACATCTCGTGCCATCCCACCCCGTAATAACAAACTTGCGTGGAGATAAATTCAAATGTAAGAACAATATTGATAGTTATAAAATATCAACATTAAAAACATAATATCACAAGTTGGTGCTGAACATACCCAAATGTCTGTTCTTTCATCAACTGATGAGTTTGTTTCTACAGTAAACAGCTCTGGGGCTCTGTACAGCATTGAACATCTTTCAGCAGCCAAGTCCTAGATTAAAAAACAAAATTTTCCCAGCATTGTCTTCAAATAGTTACATACTGTAAAGTAGCAGACAAAAACAAAACACAAATTCTAATAATGAAGAAAAAGTTAATTACATTTCAACAACTAAAAATGCTGCAAAATATTTTAATTCTAACAAACCAATTCATATATTTCACTCATTTACTTTGGTACGCTGCTGTACAGAGCAAAACTAATGATGGTATTTCTAATGGCCACTATCTTACACCATCCAGAATAATTTCTTGGTCGAGTCTGCCTCTTGTAATGCTGATCTTTCCAATCATAATGTTCTTTTTAATGAATCAGCTGGGTACATACAATTACTTTTATTAAAAAAAAAATTCTAAATATATTTTAAAAATTACTGATATTATTACTGCCTAGTACAACACTGAGAAAAAATTCAACACACTCAATTTCGGTTATTAACTGTTTCATAAATACAACTTCAAATGTGTAACAAACCTGTAATGATGATGCATCACGGGCCGTCTTGATTTCTACACGAGCGACAGCTGCCGATCCCAAATCCATAACAACTGGGGTACCATCTTCTTCTGTCATCACATTGTCAGGTTTTAAGTCTCTAAGACAAATATGAAATACAATAAAAGAAAATCAATATTTCAAGAAGTAACAACATATTAACTTTTCAGTAATAAGCAATAAAAACTGTTTTTCACTTTTTCAAAGCTTTCGGGTTTTGGCAGAAGCTTATCAAAGCACAGATTACATGACAGCAATGAAAGAAAAGCAGCATATAAAGGAAATCTTATCATTAAAACCTAACCTGCACAGTCTGTGGCAACTGCACTAGCCATTTGGCCCTAAATCCTAAATCTCCACAACCCCTGCCTACACCACAAAAGTCTTTAATACAGACAACAATGACAACAATAGTGAAAAAGTGGTGAACATAACATTTAATACCCGCTGATATTAAATGAAAATTACCCATTTCTTTACACAAGATATTTTTCATCTTCTGATTTTCAGCTTTTTATTTGGTTCATCTTCTCAATAATTGTTATGCAGCTTTTGTATGACGTTATGACAGTTCCCAAATATTTGAATTTATCAACACAGTTTAAGAACGTTTTCTTCTACTGTAACATTATATACTGAAAATTAATAAGCCCTATAACTGTCATTAAACAAAGGACACGATTCCATGCCTAGATGCATCCTGGACATATGGTCATAGCCCCATATTTGCTATAGACTATCTGGCACTTAATGGGCGATGTGGCCAATGTAATGCTGACCTAATAATGCTTTATTTCCCAGGTCATTTCCTAGTAACCAATTTTTAGATAATGTGATTTCTTCTTTGCTTTCGCCAGGTCTAAACTCTTGTTCCAGAACTTGAGTTTTGTGTGCATATCTGCTTTAAAGATCTGGCTTATTTGGTTGCAGACTGTTGGTTCCTTGCCTGACAGGCAGATGCACTCTGACTTTAAAGGAAACTCCTTAATTAGTTGATTTATATGACATGCTTGTTAGGGACAATGTGGGTCTATCCCCCCCCCCCCCAAACTGGGGTCCGGGAACCCACACAGAGAAGATAATATGGTATAAGGCCTGTCTTTTAAAAGCTGACAATGTGAAGTATACATTCCTAACGTAACACGGACACTACAGACAAACCTATGTGCAAAAGGAGGCTTATGATCATGCAATGCCTTGACTCCCTTACAGATGCCCATCATCAATGTCCAGATCTGATCTTCACTATACTGTTCCCCTTTTAGTCTTAAAGTATCAATTCTGTCCTGTAGTGTGCCTTTCTAGATATGAAATAAGAAAATACTAAGACCACCAAGTATTTTAGTATACTCAAAATTATTTTTTTTTCAAAAATTAAGCAAATAAAAATTAAGAAAACTATTGCATATACAATTCTTTTTCTTCTTAGGGTTTACTGGCTGTAAACTCAGGCGGAAAGTTCTGCTTGATTGTCCACATCTGGACTTTGGGGTCCTGTTCGAGAACCTGAGTTTTGCGTACGCATCTGTTTCACAGATCTGATTTATTTGTGTGCAAACTGTTGGTTCCTTGCCTCTCAACTCTGAAGGAAGCATCCCTAATTAGTCGCCTTGTACGACATGTTTGTTAGGGGGGAGGGGGGGGCAGTAGTTCTATTTTCCACCTCTCCAGCCCCAAAATGGGCTGCTGCTTCCAGACATTTGTAATAGTAAATTGAAAGCTCAATGAACCCATCAGCTTTCTCTCAATCTGCTACTTGGAGTGTTAGACTGCTAAATGAGGTACAGATGATTCTTACAAACAAGCTTATGTTTTCTCCATTGTGATAACCCTTTCTGTACCACAAGGTTTTGCAGCAGATCCACAAGGGTAGAAATAACCACTACTGAACTTTACTTTCAAACAGCCTAACTACAATTTTGAAACAGCTACTGGATTAGCCAGATTTCTAAACATGCTGTAGCCAAATAAAACATAACAAAAATACCTTATGCTTTGGTTAAAACTCATAAGCAGGTGTTTGTTTTGTTTTCTGATTGTATGCAATAGTATGCGATACCAACACCCTTTTTTGAGAAATGCTTTTTCAGCACAACTGAAACTTTGCGATGCATAACCACACCTTTTATCAGACACCTTGTGGTGAGTACCAGCACATTTATTTTTAGGAAAAAAGCCCTGCTAATAAGAAACAATTGATTACACACACACTGCTTAAGACTAAAAAAAAAAGATTTTTTTTTTGTTTTTTAAAACAATATGTATGCCACTAACTACAAGAGATCACATGTCACAATAAAATATATGTTTGAACACACAAAAGACAAATGAACTGTACCTTATAGACTGGAATAACTAGAAATAATTCACATGTGATGTCAAGGGCCTTGGATTGATAATTCACTTCATGCATGCTGTAGCACTCCAAGGGTATCACATTTGGATGGTTTATTTCTCTCATAATTTTAACTTCCTGCAATGCAACTTGTTCCTCTTCTTTGGAATGACAGACAATTCTTTTCAAGGCATATGTTTTATGAGTCTGAGCATCTTCAACTAAATCAACGTAGCTGAAGCCTCTGTAGAGAGAAATCAAGATTAATTAACATATTAAAATAATCCAAATGAAAAATGTACATGCAAAATTTCTAAATGTACACTATTGTTCCGTATGCAAAAATAGCCGTGGCAGCAGTGACTAGCACATTTGCCTGACATCCTGGTGGTTATATGTTCAAATTCCATTTGAAGCAGATATTTGTTTTAAAAAATTATATGTGTTCATAGATTTAAAAAAAAAAAATGTTATTGCACATCCTTTAAAGTACGTTGCAAATGAACCTCAAATTTGGAAACAAACCTCAACTTTGTTGGCTGTTTGTGGTTTTACTAGATAATTTCCCCATCAATAGCTTGGCACTGCTTTCTGAATGGCTAATCTAGACACCAATATCGAAATCAATGCAAAATGGTTCCTAAGTGGACAGTTTAAAATTGGTACCTGAGAATTTCCTTGGAAGTAAAGGTCACCAATGTGATACTGGTCACATTACACACACAAAATCCTACCAATGTTGAATGAAGACTTGACATCACAGCACTCGGGACACTCCCATTAGCACTCCATCCCCATCTTCAACAGCAAATGAAGAGTTTTAATTCTGAATGCACCAGTAACTGTCTGATTGTATATCCATCTCGCCTTTCCCATGAGTTGTGAGCATTGGCCAGATCTCCTGGCAACTCTCCGCAGCGCCATTCTCCTCAGACCGTAATGATCTAATTGCACTTCCACACTGTTCACTCACTCCTAGAGGGCCCTCACAACATCTAGCTTGTCATACATCAATTCACCACCAAGTTGCAGAGCTGGCTAGTAAAAAAAAATCCTGCCAATACTGCCTATATTTACCACTTTTTGTATTGTAGGCAGAGGGTTGTTTGAGCCTGAAGATTTAGGGGCTGCATGGCTGGTGCTGTTGCCATGAACTGTGCAGGTTAGGATTTTATTATTTACCCCTGACAGAAAGAAATCCACAACCTCACAGAGGATTTGAACCTGGGTCTCCTGCAAGAGAACCCAGTGTTCTTGACCGTTTATCTCTCCACTCCTCAGCCGTACCTGGTGGCTAAATGGTCTAAAAATATAGGGTTAGCACCACATGCCCAAAATGCTACAGGCATAATAGGGGTATTAACAAATGCATTTAAACTCAAAAAGTCACAGCAGTGTAGTGGTTAACACATTCACCCATAGACCTGATGGTCTATGGTGAATATGTTTCTTAATGTGGATTTATTTTTGACTATACTTTATGGGATTAACCAGCCTCATTTAAAATAGCAGAAAGTTCTCTGAAAGGGAAACTGATCAGCTATCTTCCGAATAACGGTCCCAAATTTTCGAGGCAGAAATTAACAGGGCCTCAGTCACGTGTCAGCTGCGCACTTCCGGGGACTATACTGCCACCTCCGAGAGTATCCCAATAAAATCAAGACAGCTGCAGGAAATGCGGTAGCTGCTGCTCATGAGTTCCAGCCATCTAGTTTAGCCTCAATCCACGCCGCTCATGTGGCGTGGGGGATACTCTCGGCGGTGGCGGAAGTGCGCAATTTAAGTCGCCGGAAGTGCGCAATTGACATGTGACTGAGGCCTTTTTAGGGTATATTTTCTGCCTCGATAATTTGGGACCGTTATTCGGAAGATAGCCAACTGATCACTTACATATTAACAACACCACTGACCAAGTGCTGCTAGTCAAGAAAATATGTGTCTATATTCAACATGGTACAATCAGATCTTCTACCATTTACTCTTATTATAAATAAATATATGCTAGACAAGTCTGTTAGGTTTAGCAGTGAATATTCTCTGTGAGAACAAGACAAAACCTGAGTCAAACATGTTGTGGATAAAATGGTAACAAGGTATGGGAACAGGGGTCTGTTACCATTTACTTTGATTAAGAATAGAACTATAAGACTTGCCAGTTAATATTCTCTATATAAACACAGGGTAAAATCTTTACTTGAGTTGGACAACTTAGAGTGTTTAAATATTATACAGACAGATATGAAGTACATTCTTGGCTTTCAGTTTCAAACATCCAACACGAAAAAACTTTCTAAACTGAACTTTACAGAAAATATTCATTGGTAAGCCTTGCAGATCTGTGAGGCTAACCTTTATTCTGTTATTGTGAATTGACTGGGAATCAGTTGAGGATGCCTTAAAACTCCAAACAGTGATAGTGACATGGGAGAGGCAATGAATGTTTACAAGCTATGGATCTAATCTGACCATTCATTCTCCTCTTCTTTGGCTCAGCCTTCTGAGCACTTTAAGTTCGTTGCTGCAGATAATGTAACTTTTCAATGCTGAGATATCCTGATGAATTCGGTTTATTGTTAGTGTATTCCATGATACTATAAGATACATTCATAACTGCATTCATATAAACTATATATTATTAGGTAAACTAAGCAAAATCAGTTAAGTGGGCGGGGGGTACGTCGTAAAGAAGGCGAGTAAATAAATTCGTCTCGGATTCAGTGCGACGTAATTTCAGCCTCTTTTACCCACCCTTCGCCCAGACGTTGCTTGATAAAGAACCGGCGACCATCAACAGACAGCGACTCCTTGCCACAGAAACAGCCCATGTTTATACAACGTGTCACGGAATAATGTCTGTGCTGTCACAGATGTAGCACAGAAACATCGCTGGCTGGCGGCAGTGTTGCCACTTTTCTTTGACAAAAAAAATTCAAAAAGGAGTCAAAAAATATCTTAAAACATCTAAATTTGAATGGAAAACATCTAGAAAAAATATCCAAATGGAAAGAGTCGCAAATTACATAGCGATTGATATGACTTAGTCTATAGAATTATGTCCTAATCTTTACTGAATTCTGCCTTACAAGATCCATAGGTTAAACTTAGCTTGGATGATGAAGTTGAAGCTTCAGATCCAAAATGACTCTGGTATGCTTTAGCTGTTCCAGTCTATTTTAATACCCAATCTGGGAGCTGATAAGTGGAACAGCCTTGTCCTACTCTTATCAAGCAAAATTGTATTGTCAGGAAAGCATTTGAGAGGTCAAATTGCGTCTTGTTTCTTAGGTTAGATTTTATAAATTCATTCCAAATGACAAACATCTAGAAAAACATCTACCATCTCAACGTCAAAAACGCTATCTAAATGCAAGGGAAAACATATAAATCTGGATGTAAAACATCAAAGTGGCAACACTGGCTGGCTGAAACTGTGTCATCTCCTCAGAAGTAGGATTTTTTTTTTTTTCGTACGGTGCTCCAGGAAAAAAATCACCGCATACAAAAGTAATGAAAGAATGAATCAAGAATTGACATCCCTGCACTCAGGGCTTTCCCATGCGTGCTCCATCTCCCTCCTTGTTAGCCAATAAAGAGTCGATATGCTAACAGTACCAATCGCAACCTGACTAAAAGTTTGCCTGTTTTCCCCTCAGTGTTAAATATCTTCCAGACCATCTGCCCCTCCACCCCCACTCCAGTATCCTACTTGATAACACAAAAGGTTCAAACATTCGCTTTCAGTGACCACAACTGTCACAGGGTAATTAACATAGCCATGCCTGATACATGCTTCCAATAAAAGCTGCAACAACAAAAAAGTGTTCGGAGTATCCATGTGAAAGGCGCCCGCGAGGGAAAAGAGCTTGTGTGTTCTTTTGTATGCACATTGTTAATTGTTCGTAATTTGTTACCCACAACGGACATTACGTTAGTGCAGCGATGCTGGCCTTGTTTAAGAATACAATGGAAAACTATGAATTACTTTTATTCGCATGGTTCACAAAACGCAACCAAGCAGCAATAGGGTACCAACGCAGCGATCAGCAAGGGGTAAACCAAGCACCAGCAACAATCAGCTAAATCCCACAGATATCAGCACTAAGAAAACTGGACCAGACCAGACCCAAAAACCTCAAGCACCACACCAGACTTAGGAAGCAAAGAACCGGTATATCAGCTGTGACCACACACTACAAATAATAGAAAATCAAACAAGATAGCTAAGGAACCTTCCTTCATATAACAGGCATCCGGGCAGCTGAAAAAGGATCAAATTTGTAATTTTTGTTGGACAATTGGAAGTGGTTCACAGAAATGTATCACTGCAAGGGTTAAATGTGTGCGGATGGGTTTCGTTTCAGGTGTTTTATTTAATATGATTCGGTCCCGTCGAAGCCAACTGTTACTGAGAGCGCAGCACGAAGCATGAACTTAGTTACTCCAGTGCAATGATCTTCAGGGAGAAATTCCAAAAGTTAATCAACGACGCAGTACGAAAACAACCAACGAAGTTCAAATGCTTTGACTATGAAAGCTAGAAAGCTACCCCCCCCCCCCCCAGGGAGGAATTACATCCACAATATTATAAGTCGTCACAGAGGGAGTATTCAAAATACATTAATTGGACAAATTGGGGGGGGGGGGTGTCAGTTCAATAAGAGTTGCATCATAAATAATATTAAATATCCGTCCAAATACTGTTTTGCCAGTCTTTCGGATTCAATGCACATACAGTGTACTTTTCGCAAAAGTGGTCACTTTTGAAAAAAGACACCGCCTGGCTAGAAAGTAAAGGCTAACTAAGGGTTTATATCTTATAGGTTTCTTACAGTTAGTACATAGCACGGTATACTACAGCAGTAAAAGTAAACATGTCACAAATGTCCCTTCTGATGAGACATCAACTAAAGGTAATATTAATATAACCACAGTGCTTTAAGTGGAAGAATTTGGTGTATGGGGCGGGGGCGGGGGGGGGGGGGGGGGGGGGGGGGGGGGTGTGATAATGTGTGTATATGTGTTTATGGTTTTTTTTTTTTTTAGTTATCGTGCTTATACACAAATACTACACACACACAGGTTTGTTAAAGGACAGTGGGTCTACCCCCACTCACCACCTCCGAAAATAGGATCTGAGAGCCCACATGTGGAATTTACTCTCCTAAAATATTATTTTGCCTTTAACTATAACTCAGACCCTTTCTGTGTCAGCAGTTATTTTCAGAGTAGAAACTATATGTTTAACTGAAGCATTTGAAGTGGACAAGAAATTGCGTGAAGTAGTAATCAACACAGTGTGGATAGAATAAATATCGACCTCAGGCTGAAAGAAAATAAAACTTAAAGGTCACATAAATATACACATTTGCAACTGTGTTTATTTTTCTTACTAAAACTGTAATTATTTTATCTTTACGCAATAGAATTCACATTCACTAATACGGCTGAACAGATGTCTGTCATCAGGTCAGTCAAAACCAGAGCGTCCAATTTCACGATTTCCTATACCTGATATTAGTGAAATTCCTTCTGACTTGCGAGAAGTCATAGAGGAGGCACAAGAAAAGGTGAGATACATTTTCAAATGATCAACAGTTATGTATTATGTGTAGACTAATTTTAGGTGTCTACACATTTGTTATATAAACACACAATTTTCATGTTTGCCATTGATTTTCTTCAGGTTTGAGTTTTTCTGACCAATGTTTTTCTTATTCATTCAATTTACTTTAGTTCTTCATGTAGCAGACAGCCTACTACACATGACTGGCTATTTTTCAAAGGAACCGATCAGTTGGTCATGGTTGGTTTTGAAAACATACCCCACAATAATACTTCTCGTCCTTTTTAGGATAAAATTTTTTGTTATTTGAAGCCCTACTCTGGTTCTTGCCAGTGGCGGCAAAAAAGCCCAGCTATAAATATGGCCTAATGGCTGAACGCCATTTCTTGGACCTCTCCACGGCGATCCTCATCCACATGGTGTCATCGGGTGTTTATTGCTTGTGTGATGTCCTAATGGGGTAGAAAGTCAGTCAGTCAGTCAATACCCCACAATATATTTGTGTGTGAGTGTGTGTGTGTGTGTTTTTTTAAAGATATGCAAATGACCAGTCATATGAATTATTTTACACCCCTGTGATTTTTTTTTTTTTTTATATATATAACTGAATCCATAAGGCAGCTGTCTTAATCTTTTGGAACAATAAGAGTTAATAAAGCAAATGTTTAGTCATAAGACTCTTTAACTGTAATAATCATATCAAGCTTTTAGCATTCATTGCTTTGAAACCTGTCCTATACAGAAAACATTAAGTCCACCTCACAGCTTCTGCCAAAACAGCTTTTCCTTTCCTAGAAAAAGAATGACAGCACTCAAAGAGCCTTAAAAAGTACCAGTACTCACCACAGAGTGTTTGTTACAGTAGCACAAAAAAAAAAAATTATGAATAAAAAGTGGTTCCTGTACTGTGTACTATTGCATACAGCCAGTTTTTAAAAAAAGCCTTGCATACGATGCACATAAAACTACACTAAACACAATCTATTAATTTCCATTTACAATATACAGGGCAGGAATCTGTACCTTTGTCAGGTATGTTGTTCGGATTCATGTGATGGTGTAAGGTTAACTCTTTGAGTCCCAAGGAACGCATCATACGTTCATAGGATCCCACCTAGAAGCCCAATGAACGCATGATGCGCCGATTTTATTTATTTATTTACTACCCCCTAAGATTGTGATGCTAAACCCTCTGGGACTCAAAGAGTTTATGGTGTTTTATTTGTTGATAAACAAACTGGATGAACATTTGGTTCTATTTATTTGTGTATGTTTACTTTCCCTTTGTTGAGTTTTCTAGTAATGTGTTGTATTCATTAAGTTTTTTTTTAAATAGCTAGTCATGATATTTTCTTAAAAATATCATTAAAAATCTTTTTTGCATCTGCATTATTATAGCTTCCATGTTTTTAAGCAGCGTAATATCTATAAATATAAATGCAGATAAAATCATTTTGGAAGATGTACTACTATAGAAACCATTACAATGTCGCAAGTTTACCTGACTTTTGTAATCGAGCTTCCATTTTTATTGTAACTACAGGCTGGTTTTACTCCAAATGTCTTCAAAACATTGTCCTATAGACCAAATGAGATGCGAGCTTTTGTGAATTATCATAATGCTGTCATGGAAAACAGAGAAGGAGGTTAGATTTCAACATTGTATTTTTCTCTGTAACATTGCTTTATTTTTACCAAAGCTTACTTTGTTCATGACCCTGTTATTATTACTTACACAGTATTTTTGGTGGCAAGATGCAATACACAAGTTCAACTAAATGTTTTTAATTTTTTTTTTTTTTTTTTGAGAAACCGCAAAACTTAAATTTTCTGTTGGGTCCAGTTCCCCATAAATGTCACTTTCCTGACTCGTTTATAGTGTCCTTTTTAGGAGTTGCATAGTTAATGTTATTGGGTATTTTTTCACCCAAGCAAACACTTAGGGGGTCAAGATATGGTTACATTAACAAAAAATAGCATTTAGGGGGTTTTCACTCAAACCAAATACTGACGAAAGGAATACTGAAAGAAGAAATTTAATATAGACAGACAGAGACAAAGCAGACACCAACAGAAGAAACATTTACACATATGACATCAACACAAGGGACCGTGACACAGCAACAACCAACACAAGAGACAGTGACACAGCAGACGCCAACCTGAGGGAGACTGACACACCAGACATCAGCACAGTGGACAATAACACAGCAAACACCATCACAGTGGACAATAACACAGCGAATACCATCACACTGGACAATGACACAGCAGATGCCATCACAGTGGACAATAACACAGCGAACACCATCACAGTGGACAATGACACAGCAGATGCCATCACAGGGGACAATGACACAGCAGATGCCATCACAGTGGACAATAACACAGCGAACACCATCACAGTGGACAATGACACAGCAGATGCCATCACAGGGGACAATGACACAGCAGACGCCAACCTGAGGGAGAGTGACACAGCAGACACCATAACAGTGGACAATAACACAGCGAATACCATCACACTGGACAATGACACAGCAGATGCCATCACAGTGGGCAATAACACAGCGAACACCATCACAGTGGACAATGACACAGCAGATGCCATCACAGTGGACAATGACACAGCAGACGCCATCACAGTGGACAATGATACAGCAGACGCCATCACAGTGGACAATGACACAGCAGACACCATCACAGTGGACAATGATACAGCAGACGCCATCACAGTGGACAATGACGCAGCAGACGCCATCACAGTGGACAATGACGCAGCAGACGCCATCACAGTGGACAATGATACAGCAGACGCCAACCTGAGGGAGAGTAACACAGCAGACATCAGCACAGTGGATAATGACACAGCAGACGCCATCACAGTGGACAATGATACAGCAGACGCCAACCTGAGGGAGAGTGACACAGCAGACATCAGCACAGTGGATAATGACACAGCAGACGCCATCACAGTGGACAATGACACAGCAGACGCCAACCTGAGGGAGAGTGACACAGCAGACATCAGCACAGTGGACAATGACACAGCAGACGCTGTCGCGCGCCCACGTGGGTAAATACACTGATATAGTGAGGGTGTGGGTTTGAACCTTAACAATGCCCACCCACGTGAGAAACTGGACTATTATCTAAGCTATGTTGATCCTAGACAGTCCTGGATAGCCAAGAAAACAGCGAGTGGCTCGTTCCATGAAATGAAAGTTGCTGTACTTGTATCCACAGGAGTAGGAGAAGGGATTGATAGATTTCTGGATACACCACTATGAAATAATCTAAGTACACAATTTACTTAACTCTGTGTAACAACATCAAAAAGATTTATTTAATAAATCGAAATTAAAATAAAATGAACTTGTTTAGGCTAGTAGAGTTGGGATGATGTTATAGATGACATTAAAGTTGTACATAACTTAGCTCATCAGGACAGTTCTCGGCTTGAGACCCTGCCTATCTTTTCCAGTTTGTCGTCCTCACTGCTTTCTGCAGGTCGTTACACTCGACGGTCGGCAAATAATGGATGCCTACTAGTCCCTGCCCAATGTGGGAACTGGAGATAAAGAAACAAGCGCATATTTGTAGTATCTGCTCTAGATGTACACTAAGCATGTATATTATACTAACATCAAGCATGTTTATTTAAATAAAACATTTCATCTCTCCCTCATGCTCACATTCACTCCTGTCCAATTTGGAAGGGCTTATGTCTCACATTCCAACTGTTACATCTTCTGCCTTCCTCTACACGTCCTGTAATGATAGTCAAGTCTTCTACGTCAGGTGCCATCTCTCGTACAGACTCAAAATGACAATCAGTCAGACGGAACCAGTTCTGGAATCTATGCTTGGAACAATCGACGCGCCCAGAATGCTAACAATAGTTCTGGGGCGAATCAAATAACAAATCTCGTGGATTTACTCTCCGGGATCAATCTCCGCATTAGCCTCCCGAGAGTTAAACACATTTCAGTGTGTTAGCTGTATGTAATACAGATTCACATTAACCACACGTGAAAAGATTGCCAAAGTTATCTTCACGCTTGTGATTTCAAAAACATGATAGTTCATTAAATTTCAATGGCAACAACAACATTTAGGTTTTACAACATTGAAACACATGTGCCCGAAAAACATTCATGACACTATCACATAGGAAATAAAGCAATGTGACAGTGCCCTACGAGAATGAAGAAATGTCCGCCTAGGAGTACTACAAAGTGATGAAGACACACACTTGAGCAAAAAGACAGATCTCTATCATAAAATATAGATGTGAACCTAATTTCGATCTTACCTGGAAAAATGAAACCACGATGCCAAAAGTTCTGTCTCAAGCTTAGGTTAAGCCCAACAGATGGCATGTGCTAGACAGGATCTCATTTACCAGACCTAGCGTTCACCACTTTATAACTTTTATCAAGCTCCTCCTACATTACGCCTAAAATCATTCTCATTAACGGATATCATAGCTCCTCCCTTGTGGGTAAGTTTATTCGCTGTCAGTCAGTGACTGTACAACAATTGTTTAAATTCCCACGCTAGGATCTCCTGGTCAATTCATCTGACAGAGCAAATAGGACAAGTCACACCTCCGGCCTACTTCACCTGCCTTCACAATAAAATCAGACGGTGTCAATCCTTCTGTTAACACTTTCTGCTCACCATGTCAATAGTGACCGTCGGACCTGCCGTCGAGTTAGGTAACCTCAGGGGGAATTAAACACAATTAGCCGGAGTTAGCTGCTCCTAAAAGTCTGGCTAGGAGATAAAATTTCTGACACCACAACAGATGGTGTGCAAATCTCCAGTCAGTAAGTCTGCTTGGTCAGTCTTATCTCTGTACCTTAACACTTAACGTCTGGGAAAAAGTTTTAGTGTGTGATATCGCCAACATCCCAGGAGAATTAAATGCTTGTTCATTTCGCCTACTTAAAATAAAGAATGTATCCAAATCCCTATTTTCCTGTATACTTTCAAAATACAAAGAAATAAAAGTAGGTTGAGGAAAGACATTCTGGAGTCACCGAGCGTATTGTCACAGAGCCTCTCCCTTAAGTTCGGTCACCCTGACCGCACATCAGCACGCTCTGTGGCTTCCAAGAATTTCAAGTCCTCCTTTGCATAACTGCCCATAAGTTTTCTGTTTCCAGTATTCTTTTTTGGCAGTGGGAATTCCTGCACTCGTCTGCAGATATCCCATGTCCTTTCATCCAGGATAATTCAATACTGTCATTGATCCTGGTATTGAGCGGGTATTCCAAGCAGTCGCTCGGTAATGTCCCTTTGTCCGGAGGTTCCTCCTTCCATCGGATAATCAAAGATCCATGCTTTGTCAACGGGACTCCTCTGCGCCGTTGACTGACAACCTCTGTGCGTTTCCTCACTTCGCCGCGCCCTATCTGCCTAGGGAGAGCCTGAAGTGTTCTACTAAAAGGATTAGTTGCAGTCAGGTTGGATCCTCTTTTCTTCCGTCTACAGATTCTTGAAAAATCTGTTACAAATCTCCTCTTAAAACGAGGGATATCTTCACTCATCGTGATCCCACGAAGTGAGTGCCACTTACCACTAACAATTTCTCTGAAGAGTGTCCATTTGTTGCCTCTTCGGTGCATTCTGTCTTTACCTTGCCAAATTGTCAGGGTGGAATTGTCTTTAACAAAGATCAGTCCAGAGTCAGAGCACGAAATCAAGTCAGGGTATACAGTCAAATCAGTAAAAAACTCAGGGTTTCCTGTAGACTGTAAGGTGGGATTTCTTCGCAATGAAGTTTCCACCACCAGCTGAGATACCCCTGTCACTTCCTTCGAAGCAAAGAGTACTACAAGACCAGAATGTTGGGGTTCCCTACTATTCATGGCTTGTTCTGCTTCAGGGTCCTTCATCAGAAGTATCCCTGTCGCCCCAGCTGTACAGGGCAGCAGAGACAAGTTGTCTCCCTGCTCACGAAAAGTATTTTCTTCTTCGATAATGGCAAACACTTCTGTCTGTCCATTATCGACGTGCACAGGCCTAGCAGAATTGTCCTGTTTATGTCGAGTCTCTAAGATCGTCAAGACGTCCAGAGAACTCTCCTCCTCATCTGCTATTCTCACCTTGGTCTGGCTTTCATATGCACAGTCCAGTGAAAGCAAATCAGGAGGTGTGTTGCCGCCATCGCAGTCAACTCCTTTTGGTGTAAAGTCAGAACTAACACATTCATTCCATTAGGCATGCGGCCGCATCCAAGGAAATAGGGGACACAGGTTCAGCGTTATTCCCTACATCAGTCTGCTTTAATTCCTCTTCTTGCATGAAGGGACCAAAGGGGATATGGGAGTTGGGTAAGTCTTTGCCCTCGTCCTCATTAATGTCTGGTGTGTCAGTCGAACAGCTATGTCTACGGTTACAACCGTTATCACGCTTGTCACTACTGTCAGGTTCGCTCTCATTTATCTCGTCTGAGGTAATGGGAGTAAGGGGTTCCAGCAATGTAGATCTGGTCCCTTTAGAAGATTTCTGCTTCTTGTTCCATCTTTTCCTTTTAGGCTTAAGAATGGAAGTTAAGGGGTCCAGCAATGTAGATCTGGTTATCCCTAAAGAAGAGTTCTCCTTGTTGCCTCTTTTCTCTGTAGGAATAAGAGGTGTGAGATACTGTCCTCCGGTTTTTATGTTTTCTTCCTTATAGCTGTTGAGTTTGGCCAAGGAGTGCTCACCACAATGGTTAGATAGTTTGCCCCCACCATACCTGCTTGAGTTTCAGCCTGAGGTATTGGTTTTTCCTCGCATATACTCGCAGTTTCCTCAACGCTAATGTTTTCTGCTTGCTGTTTTATCCTATCTTTTTCTGCCCTCTCAAGTAGCAGTTTTCGATGAATTTCTTCACTCTTACGCCTCATCCTTTCAGCAAATCCTTCCTGAATACACTCTATCTCTCTTTCTAATTCTTCTCTTATAAGCTGTATGTCTCTTTCATACTCTACTTTCCTTAGCTGTTCCTCTCTTTCATACTCTTCTTTCCTAAGCTGTTCCTGCCTATTATATTCTTCTAGCTCCAACTGGCGCTTTTTCTCTGCAGCATTACGGGCAACCATATAATCAAAAGTATCCATCTGGCATTTAATATATGTTTCTAACTGTGCCCCTACTCTACCCTCAGCTATCCCGAATTTTCTTACATCTTTTTGGTACTCGGTACGTAAGTCCATTCTATCTAGAGATAAATGTAATACTTCCCCGAGGTAGGATAAGAAGGATATGTCAGAGCAAAGTACAGTGAACTTGGCACCAGAGGAGACTATGACAGCCGCACAAAGATGTATATGATGCAAAGCAGCCTACCAGATTAACAGCCTATAGAATACTATAGCAGCAAAAAGATAAACCTATAAATGATCAAAGCGATGTTACACTCAGTCACTAATTATTAATCTCAATGATATGATGTCAGCATGTAATATGTTCTACAATCTATATCAAATGAAATATGCAAGCAAAAAAAAAAATCATCAATTCATCAACTCTAACTAAGCACTATAGATTAAACAATCAATGTTCATGAAATGTTCAATGATAGACAGTTAACTCATGTGATTTCATCAATTAAATACTTTTACAGTTATTATAATTTTAATCTTCCCAGTTACCAATTACTAAGTATTATTTTAGTCTAAGAACTGGATGAAGAGTTAAAATGAAATCTATGAAATTAAACTTTTTATTCGTTAGTCTAGGGTCTGCCGGGTTTGATCGCTGGCGGGACGCCACTTGTGTCAGGTTTTAATTCTAGAGAGCGACACAATAGTTACGTGATGTTATAAACCCCGAGACGAGATACCCAATTGTCGCTCGATGTTATAAATTCCCAGACGAGATCTCCAATTGTCGGTGGGTTCTATGCCGGGACGAGATCCCCAATTGTCGCGCGCCCACGTGGGTAAATACACTGATATAGTGAGGGTGTGGGTTTGAACCTTAACAATGCCCACCCACGTGAGAAACTGGACTATTATCTAAGCTATGTTGATCCTAGACAGTCCTGGATAGCCAAGAAAACAGCGAGTGGCTCGTTCCATGAAATGAAAGTTGCTGTACTTGTATCCACAGGAGTAGGAGAAGGGATAGATAGATATCTGGATACACCCACTGTGATATAATCCAGGTGCTCATTTAACCCCTGCGACTGGTCTCCTCTCCTGGCATTACTTAAAAGCCCCCATCAAGTGATTTAAATATTTGTTAGCTGAAGTAAACTAATATGCACAAAGACACTTGAACCTAAGTACACAATTTACTTAACTCTGTGTAACAACATCAAAAAGATTTATTTAATAAATCGAAATTAAAATAAAATGAACTTGTTTAGGCTAGTAGAGTTGGGATGATGTTATAGATGACATTAAAGTTGTACATAACTTAGCTCATCAGGACAGTTCTCGGCTTGAGACCCTGCCTATCTTTTCCAGTTTGTCGTCCTCACTGCTTTCTGCAGGTCGTTACACTCGACGGTCGGCAAATAATGGATGCCTACTAGTCTCTGCCCAATGTGGGAACTGTGATAAAGAAACAAGCGCATATTTGTAGTATCTGCTCTAGATGTACACTAAGCATGTATATTATACTAACATCAAGCATGTTTATTTAAATAAAACATTTCATCTCTCCCTCATGCTCACATTCACTCCTGTCCAATTTGGAAGGGCTTATGTCTCACATTCCAACTGTTACATCTTCTGCCTTCCTCTACACGTCCTGTAATGATAGTCAAGTCTTCTACGTCAGGTGCCATCTCTCGTACAGACTCAAATGACAATCAGTCAGACGGAACCAGTTCTGGAATCTATGCTTGGAACAATCGACGCGCCCAGAATGCTAACAATAGTTCTGGGGCGAATCAAATAACAAATCTTGTGGATTTACTCTCCGGGATCAATCTCCGCATTAGCCTCCCGAGAGTTAAACACATTTCAGTGTGTTAGCTGTATGTAATACAGATTCACATTAACCACACGTGAAAAGATTGCCAAAGTTATCTTCACGCTTGTGATTTCAAAAACATGATAGTTCATTAAATTTCAATGGCAACAACAACATTTAGGTTTTACAACATTGAAACACATGTGCCCGAAAAACATTCATGACACTATCACATAGGAAATAAAGCAATGTGACAGTGCCCTACGAGAATGAAGAAATGTCCGCCTAGGAGTACTACAAAGTGATGAAGACACACACTTGAGCAAAAAGACAGATCTCTATCATAAAATATAGATGTGAACCTAATTTCGATCTTACCTGGAAAAATGAAACCACGATGCCAAAAGTTCTGTCTCAAGCTTAGGTTAAGCCCAACAGATGGCATGTGCTAGACAGGATCTCATTTACCAGACCTAGCGTTCACCACTTTATAACTTTTATCAAGCTCCTCCTACATTACGCCTAAAATCATTCTCATTAACGGATATCATAGCTCCTCCCTTGTGGGTAAGTTTATTCGCTGTCAGTCAGTGACTGTACAACAATTGTTTAAATTCCCACGCTAGGATCTCCTGGTCAATTCATCTGACAGAGCAAATAGGACAAGTCACACCTCCGGCCTACTTCACCTGCCTTCACAATAAAATCAGACGGTGTCAATCCTTCTGTTAACACTTTCTGCTCACCATGTCAATAGTGACCGTCGGACCTGCCGTCGAGTTAGGTAACCTCAGGGGGAATTAAACACAATTAGCCGGAGTTAGCTGCTCCTAAAAGTCTGGCTAGGAGATAAAATTTCTGACACCACAACAGATGGTGTGCAAATCTCCAGTCAGTAAGTCTGCTTGGTCAGTCTTATCTCTGTACCTTAACACTTAACGTCTGGGAAAAAGTTTTAGTGTGTGATATCGCCAACATCCCAGGAGAATTAAATGCTTGTTCACACCAACATAAGGGAAAATGACACAGCAAACACCAACATAAGGGACAATGACACAGCAGACACCAACATAAGGGACAATGACACAGCAGACACCAACATAAGGGACAATGACACAGCGGACACCAACATAAGGGACAATGACACAGCGAACACCAACATAAGGGACAATGACACAGCAGACACCAACATAAGGGACAATGACACAGCGGACACCAACATAATGGACAATGACACAGTAGACACCAACATAAGGGACAATGACACAGCAGACACCAACATAAGGGACAATGACACAGCAGACACCAACATAAGGGACAATGACACAGCGGACACCAACATAAGGGACAGTGACACAGCAGACACCAACATAAGGGACAGTGACACAGCAGACACAAACATAAGGGACAGTGACACAGCAGACACAAACATAAGGGACAGTGACACAGCAGACACAAACATAAGGGACAGTGACACAGCAGACACAACACATACACAGGACACAAACATAAGGGACAGTGACACAGCAGACACAAACATAAGGGACAGTGACACAGCAGACACAAACATAAGGGACAGTGACACAGCAGACACAAACATAAGGGACAGTGACACAGCAGACACAAACATAAGGGACAGTGACACAGCAGAAAACACAGAAAACTCCCTGTGTATGTTCCAGGGCCCCATTAGGGAGAAAACAAGAATAGACCCACTGCCTCCCTAACAAGCATGTCATAAAAGTAAACTAACTGGGGTTTCCTTCGAAATCAGAGTGCTTTTGCCTCAGAGGCCAGGAGCCAACAATCTGCATACAGTTAAGTCAGTTCTGTTAAACAGATGTGCATGCAACACCCAGATTCTGGAACAAGACTAAAGTCCAGAGGTGAACAAATAACCATAACTTTCTGTTGGAGTTTACAGCCATTGATTGCGTAGAAGCAAGAAGAACACAGCAAACCAGCAGAAGGACACACACACAATGGACATTGACTCAAGGAACACTAATAGAATTAATACAACAAGAATGTTGACACAAAAGATGTCAAAAGACATTGAACATTTTAGTTTTTGACAAGTCTGGAGACCTGCTAGCTTGTATCTACTATCACTATCATTATCAGAGGAATGGTACAATTCTACATCTAGGGGTTAACTATGCCTGTGAAGAGTACTGAATATAGTGACAAATTTAGATACCCTTTCAGACAGGGTTGCTTCTAGGTTCTAATTTAAAAAATTTATTGCATTTTATCCTAACTGAAAATCTTGTGTTTGAATAAGCTTAGGGGCAGATTTTTCACAATTTGCATGGGACTACCAGGTTGGCCGAGGCTGTGATTGGTATCATGAAATATCCTGGGAGGTAAAAGATCATCACTGTAAATTGTGGTATTGATCACATCACTCATTAAGTGCTGATTGACCTATAACAGTATGGGGTACCATAACCCTTGATGAACTTCACAAAGTTGACATTGCCTCTCTTTGCAGACACAGCAGTAAGTTTGCAAGGCTAATATACTCAAGGAACGCTAAGACACTGGAACAGAGTCACAACATACACTGACACAAGTGCTTGAATACATCAATCATATCTTCTTCAATGGAACCCTGGAATCCACACAGAAAGATCAATCAGTGTTGTACATTATGTTTCAGTCTGTCTATCAGCTCATTATTCTGCTAGTTTAAAATAAATTTTTTTTGGGGTTTCAGGTAATCTGACAAAGGCAGACAAAGAAATGATAATAGTAGCAGTTAGTGCCTTCAACAAGTGCACATACTGTATCATTGCACATAGTGCCTTGTGTCGAATTTATTCCAAAAACACTATACTTGCTGATCAGGTAAACATTGTAATCTTTCTAATTTTTGGGAGTCTCCTAGGTAAAGTTGTTTAAGCTATTTTCCTCATGCTGTGAAGGTCATAGGTTTGTTTCATAGACAAGTCATTTAGCTCACAAGTGCAGTTTTTGTGGAGACGCCTTGAGATCATTACTCCAGCTTTGTATAGCGCTCTCGGTAGCTGGCTAGCCATTCTGGGGAGAGACCGAACTTCATAGAATAACCCACTGCATTAAAGTTGACCCTTTTTCTGTTATTCCACTATGGTTTTCCTTATCTAGCTATGATTAGAATAAGTGTATATTAAAACATTGTCAAAGAATTGCCAGCACTACAGTGGTCTGAGTTCAATCCCTAGATGAGAGAGAAAGATCTCTGATCACACATAGTAAATAAGTGTAGGGTTTTATAACTCGTGTCTTATGCAGGTGACAAGATGACACACTGCACTTTACAGTGTGCTCAGTAGGTTTTTCAACCCACTTTATAATGCTATGTTAGACATACTGCAAAGTGGTAACTCCATACTGTGATGTCCTGTCAGATAAGTTGCAAGGGGTTTACTCTGGTTTTTGATGGGTAACAAATATTGGGATGGCCACAATGCTTGATAATGATGTTCTGGACATTCATTAAGGAAATGGGGAAATCACTTTACTTCCTAATGCACTCTAAGAGAATTAGCAAGGACATGTAATGTCAGACAAGTAGCAAGGAAGAGGAGTGACACCCCCACCTTATAATTATATGACCTGATAAATTTGGCAATCTGTAACTTCACATTCTAAGTCATATCTGCTTGAGATTATTTTTAAGTTTTGGTCTACTAGTTCCTCATGTGGGTTGCAGGGCCCCATTTTGTTAAAAAAAAATATAGACCCACTTCACCCCTAACAAGCCTGTTATAAAAGGTGACTAATTGGGGTGTTTCCTCAAAGTCATAGTGCATCTGTCTGAGAAATGAGGAACCAGTAGTGTACATACAAATAAAGCAGATCTGTAAAATGGAGGTGCATTCAAGTTCTAAAACAAGAAAAAAGTCCAGAAGTGGATGCACAACCAAAAGTGTCCACCAGAGTTTACTGTTGGTGAACGCTAAGAAGAAGAAGAAGACAGTCTACTATATATCCATTGTATTACTTCATGAAGAATAATTTTGTGAATATTACACACTGCTGATATGCCAGATGTGTTTATGACCTTTAACCGTGTTAATAATTATGCATGGTCAAAGAAGGCATGGCTGGGAGATATGACTTCACATTCATTATGCAGAGCCACAGGTGTAGAATAATTGGTTTGATTAGTTTCACTGGAGGATGCCTGTAACACATCAGCAAGAAAAATAATAAATAAACATGCCTGCCTGTGTATGTTTGCCGGTCTGCCTGCCTACCTCTTTATCCACCCAACCAGCACTCAATCTTTCATTTATTATTCTATCAGATTGTTTGCACATACATCCATCGTGTAACTGTGTGTGTCTCTACACCAGGGCTATTTAACTGGTGTTCACAGCAAATAGCGTGTGTGTGTCATACACTAACATTTACCGTTCTTTTTAGGATGAAATGTTTCGTTATTTGAAGCCCCACCCTGGCTCTTGCCATGGGCCGCAATATAGCCAGGCCATAAATATGGCCTAATGGCTGAACGCAGTTTCTGGGACCTCTCCACGGTGATCCTCATTCACATGGTGGCACATTGTGTCATCGGGTATTTATTGCTTGTGTGATGTCCTAGTCAGTCAGTCAGTCAAATGGCCTGTGGATCATTGGCAGTTGTACTGTTTTAGAACCACGAAGGATAACCTGCCTGCAGAAGTCAGATGTATTGGCTGAAAGGCGCAAATATTGCAGCAATGCTGTAAATAGGCACAGCACATTTACATCTTTGGATGAATGTGAAAGAAGAAGAAAAAGGATTGTATAAGTGATCTTTCTACATTGGGGCTCAGGCTTGTGTCCTGTGACCATCGCCATTTTCAACATTTTGACCTCTGAGTAAACTTAGTTGAAAATCCTTGCTCTATGCACTCAATGCAGCGAATGGTACCATTTATATTTCTAGTGTCTGTTCATGTAATGTTTGACTGTTGTAATGAAGTGCAGATGTTTGAGTAGTTATAATAGTTGGTAAGTCATTACATTCCCTTTTTGACATACATATTGAGTAATATCACTTAAAACATAAAGATTCACTCATGTACTTAATTATTTATTTACAATTACAGATAGCAGCCAACTGGGAAACTGCAGATATTGATGACAGACAACGGGCTATTTTAACCTTTGCCATGGCAGTTGCCAAATGTCAGCCTCTGTCAGATCAGCACTTTGAAGAGCTGTACAAGCATAGCCTAAACCAGGCTGATGCCTGGGATATTGGATCAGTTGTTGCACTGTTTTCTTTATCCAATCGGATGGCATTTCTCACTAGCATGAGGCCAAATGAAGAATTGTATATGCTTGGAAGAATTCCTAGGCCACCTAAAGATTCAAAGTTGTGAAATCTGAACTCTTTGTTTTTGGGTCTCATCTACAGTTAAGCACATTATCCTAATTTTAAAAAATATATATAAAAAATAAAACTCTGTCCCACAGAGGATCACACTATAGTGATAATGGCCACTGCCACATGACCTGTATGGTCACTGCAAAGCAGGAAAGCAGTGCGTTCTTCAAGATGCCAAGAATGGTAATGATTTCACAGCTTTTATCCTCAAGACAAAGTTAGTTAGTCTTTCCTCTTGTGTCGAGTGCGGCATATAGGGCAGAGGTCGCGACTCTCCATGCACGGCGGTCCGTTGCAATCCGTTGTAGGTCTTGGATGTTTGAGTGGCCCATGAGCGAGCCTTCCCTGATGATAGTTCTACGTAGGGTTTCCCTTGGTCTTCCACGAGATCTTTTCCCCTGTGGTGTCCAAATGAGGGCTTGGTAAGGAAGTCTTGATTTATCCATTCTAAGGGCGTGGCCGACATAGTTCCAGAGGCGTTTTCGTATAAAATTAGACACATACTCTTGCCTGGATTCTTGCCTTATTTGTGTATTGGTTCGGAAATCTGACCATTTGAAATTTAGTATTCTTCTAAGGCATTTATTTTCAAAACTGTCTAATTTTGTGTCTAGAGTTTTCGTTGATTTCCAGCTCTCGCATCCATAGGTTAGTACTGGAATCACACAAGAATTGAAGATCTTGAGTTTTGTGTGTTTGCTAAGTGTCTTTGATTTCCAGATGTTAGACAGTTTATTGAAGGCACTAGATGCCAGTGCTATTCTAAATGATATTTCTGGTGCGATATCTCCTGTAGATGACATCTTGCTCCCTAGATAAGTGAAACTGTTGACTTTTTCAAGGCTGTTGTTGTTCAGCGTGATATCAACTGAACTGTTGGTAAGGTCTAGAATTTTTGTTTTTGCGGTGTTAATTTGGAGTCCAATTTGTTCTGAGAAATTCTGAGTCGATTGATTTTTTCTAGGGCGTCTGTGTGTTCTGAACTCAGGAGTGCTATGTCGTCGGCGAAGTCTAGGTCTTCCAGAATTTTCTCAACCCATGTAATGCCTAAATTTGCGTTATTTATGCACTTCAAGACAAAAGATAATCGTAAATGATTAAAAAAATTAGATATATACAGTTTTTTTTTTTTTTTTTTAAAAGGGGGAGGGGGGCATCTTGTGAGAAGTAATAGACTTTGGAACTTGGTAGCAACTGGCTGGATTGATAGAAAAAGAGCAAGGCGAAGGCAAAGAGATAAAAACCTTGATGGCTTAGCCTTATGGATGGGTTGAGATAAGAACCCTGACTTGATCTGTGATTCTGGTGATCATGTGAGATATGAAACTTGACAACCTATGCTTATTAGTACACCACTTGATGATGATAATGATCTGTCCCAGACAGTTGCTTAGCTTTTGTTCTGATCCAGACAGTCATTGTTTTAAAATTAACACTGCCTCAAATAGAGGTAAGAAAGTTTGTAATGCACAAAGTTACCCAAGAGTAAACGGAATAACTTAGTGTTGGATGTGCTAAATTGAATAAACAATATATAGAATAATACAAGTTATTACTTTACAGTTTAATATTGTGGGGGTTCTATAGAAAATTACTCTACAGATGTGCCGTCAATCATAGAGTTTTCTTATTACTATACTATTTACAATTGATGATATGTGTTTGTGCAGTTTATCTATTTTTTCAGGCTTTGAATCAGTTCATGTGCTTTTATGTTTCCACACATAATGTAATGCTGTTCAGAATGTTATGTTTCCATACATAATGTGATGCTGTTCAAAATGTTATGTTTTCGTGTGTAATGTAATGCTGTTCAGAATATTACGTTTCCATCCATAATGTAATGCTGTTCAGAATGTTTTTCATTTCCATGCACAGTGTAATGCTGTTCAGAATGTTGCATTTCCATGCATATTGTAATGCTATTCAGAATGTTGCATTTCCATGCATAATGTAATGCTGTTCAGAATGTTATGTTTACATGCATAATGTAATGCTATTCAGAATGTTTATGTTTCCATGTATAATGTAATGCGGTTCAGAATGTTGCATTTCCATGCAGAATGTAATGCTGTTCAGAATTTTGCATTTCCTTGCATAATGTAATGCTGTTCAGAATTTAATGTTACCATATATAGTGTAATGCTGTTCAGAATGTTGTTTCCATGCATAATGTAATGCTGTTCAGAATGTTATGTTTTCATGCATAATGTAATGCTGTTCAGAATGTTATGTTTTCATGCATAATGTAAGGCTGTTCAGAAATGTAAGTTTCGAAGCATGTTGTTTCGCATGAATTTGTCCATGTCATGGAAGAAAGGTGTTTTTAAAATCAGATCAGCTTTTCAGATTTGTGAATCCAATAAAATATAATCTTATATAAAAAACTGAACAACTTGAATTGATTGTGTCCTGCAACAGCAAAACCTGAAATTGTAAAAAAAAAAAAAAAGCTAACATAGTTGTGTGTTTATATAAAGTAAAGTCTAGGGGGTCCTAGTAACGTTTCCGCCCCAGAAATAGAGTGACTTCCCTTCCCATTCATGCCTCATCGCATCATAGAGGGGTGTCATGTATTCCTTACGGTCAATGCTTTAACTGCTCTCTGGATTCTCGTCCTCTCACTGCTCACTTGTGTGATTATTTTCACATTTTGCTACTTGTGTGATGGTTCGGGGGTATGGAAACTATGATGTTTTCTATTCCTATGTTCCTTCTCAGTGACCTCCGTGCCACCATACAGGAGATATACAGACAGGGGATCTACACACAAGTGTACATACACTCAACCAAGCTACAGCAGTCTTCTGTTACTATAAATCTGAAAAGGGGAAGTTTGAAAAAGGGACCCTAGCCCCATTTCTATTACTAGACCAACCCCCGACCCATTACTTGGAAAGGAATTCTTTAACAAATGTGATGTTGCCTCTGTTTCATTTTAAAATCTTTTTAATTTCAGGAACTGAAGAAACTTGTGATCAGCAAAAATTAGATTTGAAGAATTGGCTGCAATTGTATACTGATAATGCTTTGGTGATGGTTGGTATCAACAATGCCGTTTATGCCAAATTGAAGGAAGATATCCCATCTTTAATCCTTATAAAATGTGTGTGTCATTCCTTGCAGCTAGGATTATCACATGCTTCTTCTGAATGTTTACCAAGGAATTTGGAATACCTTATTGCTGAAACACATAACTGATTTCCAAATCATCTGTCAGACAACAGCAATACAATAACTGATATAAAGCATTAAATGATGGTTTCACATCATTGAAAATTCTGTCAGATTGCAAAACTAGAGGATTATCAATTCAACCAGCTGTTGAAAGAATTGTGAACCAATGGTTGGAGTTAAAAGACACACTTCGAAATAACAAGACAAAGTAAAAAGTCCTACACAGCTGAAATACTATATTGAATTTACAGTGATGAACAAAAATTTGGCATTCCTGCTCTTTTTACAACCTATTCTAATTGGAATGCAAAAAGTTAATAAACTGTTCGAATCTGGTGTTGCCAACTTCTAAAGCTGATTTTGCTCACTTGCACTATAGAGAACCAATTGGCTCCAAAGCCATACCTTGGATATCAAATCGAATAAAAAATGGATGATTTAAAAACAAAAAGACTGTTAACAGAAAATGAAGAGAACAACTTAAGAAAATGCTGTCAAGATTTCCTTATCTCATTATTGAAGCAGAGACTTCCTGAACATCTAGATGAATTAAAAAATAGTTAACTCTTTTCTGTGAGCAACATACTTCAGCTAGTAAAGGACATACCTAAATATATTTAAGTCATGAAATTGTTAGGTGCTACTGAAAATAGTGTGGCAGAAGCATAATATCAATTAACCAAAATAAACTTTGTTGACTGGACTAACAAATCAGAAACTGAAGCGTTTTGGAGTGAAGTGAGACAATTTAAAGATGCCCCACCAAACAGTCCATTCTGTAAGCTCTATGAATGTGCCATGTCTGTCATGATACTACAACATTCAAATGCTGACGTAGAAAGAGTTTTCAATGCTATGAATTATATCAAATATAACCTAAGAAATAGGATGAAACTTGACCTTTTAAATGCTATATTGACAATCAAATTTGGCCTGATGAGAGCAGGAAAATGCTGTTCAAATTATCAGCTCTCTGGTTGTGTATTAAAAGAAACTGGAAGTATGCCAGAGTCATTTTGATTTTGGATCTGAAGCTTCAACTTCATCTTCCAAGCTAAGTTTATCCCGTGGATCTTGTAAGACAGACATCAGTGAAGATGAGGTCATGATTCTATAGGGTAAGTCATATCAATAGCTATGTAATTTGTGACTGTTTAATTTGGATGTTATTTTCTAGATGTTTTTTTTTTTTTTTCAATGAAAAGTGGCAAATCTGCTAGAGTGCCATTTCCGCAGTCGATGGTTTATTTAACAAAAACTGTTTTCAATGGTAAGGCCAAGTAGTGCTAGAATGGAACAACATTACATATTATTCATGTTTTAACTAATTGTTACGATTTGCTTGGTCTCTCCATATCTAATCCCCCCCCCCCCCCCCCCCCTGCAGTTTTTGTGTTGTATGTCTGTGTGTGCAAGAGAAAGAGAGAGAGACACACAGAGAGAGAGAGAGAGAGAGAGAGAGAGAGAGAGAGAGAGAGACAGAGACAGATAGCGAAGGAGGGGGAAAGAGAAAGAGCAAAATAAAAATTATGATTGAAACAAAAAATGGCCACTAATACTTTTGTTAACCTACTGTCTAGATATATATGTGTGTTTCATTGCAGCCAGCCTTTATTGTGGAGACGGCACCTGATTGACTGAGAGAAAGAAAGGCAGACATATATCACAACATACGTGCAAAGAAAGAAAGACAAAAAGAAAGAAGGAAAGAAGTACGCTATTGATTCTCCCGGATGGGAAGTACGATAAGTGGTTATTTGGTTCCGGCGGATGAGCCAACTACAAAAGAGGCGGTAGTACTACCACCATTGACAGGCT